CCAATTGCCCAAATATCAACCTCTACCCCCACTCCTACCGATCAACCTTCCACATCTACATCTCTCGACCCCGAAATGACAAGTCTCGAACAAAAAATGCAAAATGCTACTCTCGCCGAACTCCAAGAACAAGGTAAAATTCCCATGGATCTCTCGGCAAATGCATCGCTCCAACTCCTGGAAAAGCAGAATGGAGATGCAAAGGGTACTGATGATAGTCCGTGGCCTCAGCAGAGAGTTCGTAGGGTTAAGTGGTAGATGTGAATCTTTCTCCCCCTTGGCTTGGGATGTGGGGTTGTAAGGTTGGAGAGTCCAAGATAGTATCTTGTCTTGTGTTCTTCGGTCGACCAAATCACTCGTGGGGAGTCTTTCAAATGCGCGGAGATGCATATCTCGTTTTATTCTTCTTTGAGCACCAGATTAGATCTACTTAGTTATGAGTGAAGATACAGCGAAGAACCTTGCATTGAAATTGCGTTGGGATTCTTTTTTCTTCTCCTTTCTTTTGTCCATGAGCTATGCGTGGCTTCTTTACATCAAACAGTAGATATATCGAAGGATACAGCGTTGCGAGGACTACATAGCGTAGCAAGGATGACTCACATTACATACCTAGGTATATCAATGAAAACGCTCTACATTTATTATCACATTCATCATGACCAAAATAGATAGCAAGCCAATATCTGAGCGTATAAAGATTCCAGGTCCTTACCTTAGCAAGGAAAATGAACTTATCTTTATATTCTCATGTAGCTTAGAAGAGGAGATTTCAGATTCTGATATCAATCCGTTGATAATGTACATTGAAACGCCACCCAACCCATGCATGCATCTATCCATCAATTCATCATGAATCATAGAATTCATGAACAAAACAACCTCGCCACCACGCTGCCAATATGAAACGTAAACGCCATTCGCTATAATGCCATTTGTGGAGATTTTTGAAGGAGGATTCGGGAATGTGTGAAATCGAAGGGTTGAGAGAAAGTGATGTACAGGGAAAGAAAGTCGAGGTTGGAGTTTACCAGATTTTGCTGGTCGTCGCTCGCTTTGTTGGTTCGAGAAGAGGTGGGCAGAGTAGAGGGGTTGAAATTGGATATGAGTTATTGTGTATCGCAAGCCTTGATGTCATAGCAGTAATCGCAGTCGTGGAGACATTCGATAGGAACAGAACCGGATCATGTCAAATCGCAAGAGAATGTGCGAGAACCCACAGGAATAGTCAATCTGGCAGGGCTGAAATCGTATGTGCGCGAATAATTGAAGAATGCGGAAGTCGAGAAAAGCGAATCGTCAACTCAATGCAAAGAAAATCCATCCCAAATCCCCCAAGAAAATTGTATGTCGAAGTGAGAAAGATCAACCGTTCTTCTCCAAAAACTCCTTTGCTTCGTTCACTTTGGTGGCTAGATATGGTGAACCGCCTCGATCCGGATGGTTCAACATCATGAGGGTGCGGTGATTCTTTCGTATGCGCTCTTTGGTAAGCTGTCGTTCGCTGTGGGGAGTAGATGTGATTAGTTTATGCGATCAGTTGAGAATAGAGGGGAGATCAAATGCACCTGAGTTGTAAAATGAGCGCAGCTTCTCTGCGATTCATCTTAGGCTCGAATCCACCTTTATAAAAAGCTTTTCCAAGTGCGCCGACGGCTTCTCCTCGCGATTTTCGGAACGCTACGAGACCTGCGCGACCCTGGAGAACAGTTAGAACTTGGGCTTCCTTGAGCTAGGCATGGGAATAATTCAATACTTACTAGGAACGCCGCTGCAGCAACCCCCGCAGTGATTGTAAGAATCGATGCCATTTTTTCTTGGGCTCGGGCTCTGGAGATGGTGGTGGTGCGTCTGGTGAGAGAGAGGGTCGTCGTTCTTTGATATCTTCCCAGTAACCTATGGACTTTTGTGCTAATTGTATCTGGAATTCTAGTTCATGTGGGTTCGGGCCGACCATTGTTCCTGGATGTGCTGATTTGAAAAATTTGGTCACCAGCGGCCGCTTCGGCTATCTACCAATGGATGTTTGTTGATGGAAATATGATTATTAACTTACCTGGTTTATTGTGGAGAAACTAACGGTAGTGTCATGTGATGGGTTTACTGATGGATATCTTCATCTTGACTTCGTCAAAGACAAAAACAATATTGAACAATAAGCTATTCTTCTCTCATCTGCCCTGATTGAGATGAGATGAGATTCTCTAGAAAATTTGAACCACTTTTATTCACTTATGGTCTCTAAATAATTGAATATTTCGACTGTTACTGCATCTCTTCCACAGGGCACTCACATTCAATTCGAACTTAGAGACCTCAATTTGTTCACATTTTGGAATTAACAGGCCATGTTGCGCATGCTTAACAACTATTTAGTACCTAGGTAGTGGTAACTTTGATCCCAACGAAGATCCGAGCATTCCAGGGGTTCTCGTCTAATATCTTTTGAACTCATGGTTCATATCCTGTGCCATAGTTGGAAAACAAGGAGAGAGCGTGAAGATATATATTGCCATCAAACGGTCCCCTTGCGGATACTGATATAGATGCTGGCAGCATATTGTTCAGCGGAATCTGTCCTGTACAGTTCTTTCGTTGTGAACGAGGCATTGATTTGATGTGACTTAAATGGATTAGTGAGCGTTCTCGAGTTCATGTTTTTGGTAAAGATTATGTGTTCGAGTCATTAAGCTATTTCGAATATCATATAATACTTTAGGATGCACAGAGTCTGGAGATAGAAAAACTGCCATCCGAAGAGAAGTGGTTCGGATTCTGACCATAGTGAGCATTTCTGTCGTTTCCTCTTGATTCCCATACCCCTCATACGTCGCTCTCGAGCCTATCCTCTGACAGATCGGCTAACAATATTCCCCCCTATCTCAGATTCTAGATTGAGTCTGGTCATTGCGATTGACCTGACTGCTGTCTGCAGTTATGATAGTCGAACTACACTCATATCCAGAAACATTCCTGCTCTGAGCAGGCGCTCACTTCATAACGCATTATAATACTATCTTAGTCTTCCACTCTCAATGTAAAACCAGTAAGTTGGAGATACATAATCTCCCGACGTGGAAGCTCCCAAGCAAAAGACTTGTTCCGTCGATAAACCCGAGTTGCAGGTTTTTGGCCGGCCAATCTAACTATCTTCCCAACCCCGTTATCTCCTGGATCTGGGCCTCTGATAAACCGTGAATGTTTTGATCGATTTTCTTCGTGTTCTTTCTTCGGCGATATCATATTGCTGTCATATTTGTAACGCTGACTTCTCGAAGAAGTTCTGAGCATTCTGATCTATATTTTCCTGTCCCCCCCCCCCAAAGAATCATCGTTTGTGCTTGTCTCACTCGGCCAACTATTCCTCGGCTCAGTTGAGTTAAATAATTATAATTTTCGAGCATTTGTTGTACCAAGTCTCATTCTACCAACGACTTTTGGCGTCTTCTGCTATCCAATGTATCCATCTTGAGGTTTTAAAAGATGATAAGATTTCTATTGATATTCGATATAAAAAGTAAAACTGTTTATTCTATATTGTAATACTGTATACAGAATATTATATATTATGGTAATCTTTGGAATACTTAGTTTGTTAACTTTTTGAATAGTTTTGATAATAAGAAACATATAGGCTTCTTATTCATTCGAAATTATTAGGGATTATTCATAAAACATATATTGAAAGACAAGGGTGTGAATTGAGATGAAAGTAGGCTATATGCTGATAACCAACGTCAGTGTATAAGCCTGTCTAACGATTGAAATTGATTTGCCCTGTTTGATTAATCAGCGTTATCTTCTTTAATGCTCTTTTTGCTCTCTCTTAGCGACAACAACAACAAAGGTCAAACATTAGTAAATATCAATATCAGACACACCTTTTTAATAGACCAGGTACTCCTCATTCCGTCTCTCTGAATTAAACGATCAGCCACACAAACCACTTCAGAGATAATTCCAAATGGCAACCTCAACTCTTCTCCTTCTCTTCAAATCAATATCGATCATCTTCGGCGTTTCCACAGTAATCACAGGAATACAAGCACTCCTAAATCCAATCGCGTTCAGCAAGACATTTGGAATCACAGTGCCAAAAGAGAAAGATACACCCATTCTAAGAAGTTACATAACACTGATGGCAACGCGACAGTTGGCGACGGGAACTTCTATACTATTATTAGCAAGAATTGGACATTATATATCGGTTGCATATATCCTGATGGTGGCGGGAATTATCGTCGCGGGAACGGATGGAGTGTTCATTGCGAAAAATGGAAGCGTGAAAATGGGAATTGTACATGCTGGACCGGGATTCGTTATTGCTGCTGTCGCTGCTGCTACTATCTGGTTAGAGGGATAGAATTATATGTATAATTTCAGAATGTAGATTGTTGCACGACTGTACTGTGTGCCTGTCTGACCAAATTACAGATCCGCTCACTTTGTGACAAATTTGTAGTTGTTTTCTGAGCAGAATATAGTTATTGTTTACATTTGGTTTTTCATTGCTGGGATCTCTCATCTGCACTCACATTGTCTTTTATCCATCAATTTAGAATGTTGTCACTCATCTCCATTTCCGCCTCCTCTTCGAATGTCAACTCTTCAATCACCCAAATGGATACCACCAATCCACACCCATCCCTCCAGATCACCCTCACCAGCAATGATAATGGTACACAAAAATATACCATTAGAATCTGTGAGAACTGTAGAACAACAAAAGGAATTTATTAAGAATTATTGGAGGGGAAAAGTAGAGGAAGAAATCACTGCTGCCGCTGCTGTGTTCTGGATCGTCGCTGCTGGAAAGTGAGACATTCATTTTGAAGAAGAGAAGCCTTGCAAGTTAGTGTTGGCCGCATCTTCAAAGGAAGGTGAGGGAGGGAAAGTGTCCTGACTATACACAAAAGTTCATAAAGTGTCCTGAGGAGTCGTCTCTGGGATATTGCAAGAAGCTTATGATACGTAGAGAATATGAGAGAAAGTGTCTTGATATGTTTAGAAGTGTCCAGGGTACTCCGTGTATAGCACGTGTATCATACTAGAGCAATATTGAAAAGTGACCTGTACGAAAATCAGAGGTTCATAGATAGTTTGGAGATGTGACAGCACTCAAGAAGCATTATTCCAATCATCTAGCAACATACTAACCCCAGGTTATAGAACTCAAACAAAGCATGTCCTCGAAGAGCTACCAAATCTCGTCAAGGAGATATTCAGAGAGATAAGCAAATTAACGGATAGAAGAATGCCAGCTATAGTACATCTACTATGCAAACATCTACATATATGTAATATGCCACATCTCATCTCCCGAGTACTGCCAAACCTGCAGCAACCTTACCGAAAGATTGCAACTCATGTACTCAAGAAACCAATACATGATCAGAAACACCAAGAGCATAAATCTGATGAGGTCGAAAACAACCACCGAGAGCTCTCACAGAATGTCCGAAAGCGCAAGACAGTCAGAGAGAAGGTTACAAAAGAAGCGAAGCCCATACCACCTGTCAGAATTCAATCCGTCCGTCTATCATCACCTCATCCCGCCAATTATCTACGACCGAATAAGACAGAATTGCACTGTTTACCTGTGAAGATACACAAACTACGAAATGCATCTACACAAGGAACACCACCACCTAAGCTTCTAAAGAGCACTGTCATTCTACCTGCGACCTCCAAGCTGAAGCCAATCTCTCCTGTTCGTACTGGTGGTCCGTCAATATTATAGCCCCACCTCATCGAGTAATTCGCACTACCAGAGCGACGATGCTACGACAAGATCATCAGTTGCGGACACAGCACAATATCTCCAATCGAGATCTATTGCTGAAAGCCGTTGTATCGCGTCGTGTCCTTAGGGCGCGTGAGAATAAGACGGCCATGCTACAATCTTTTAATGATGAGGCAAATGTAGGAACTGTACACAAAACATTATCAAAAAGCCAAGGGTTCATTGTCAGCGTATGATTTGATTACAATCCATGGTATATCTGAGACTCAAGCACAAGATGGAGAAGAACTAGTACTACCGGGAGTCAAAGGGCGGGAACCCTTCCGATACTAAGAACATACAACATCAAATTCAATTGCTGAGTATGTGTCCTTACAACTGACCTCCAATCTACTTGACGATCATGGTTCGTAGATCATCACAATTCTGATACGTCAAAAGAATCGAGTAGAAAGGAATAAGTTCTAGATTTCGACGATCTTAACCCCACTCGGGGCCCTCTGGCTGCATCCTCAAGGAGTTCCATAAACAAACTTCTAGACTTTTGGTTCTTTAAATATCGCAACTGTGATTTATCCACATCGGAATCGGAGAATTCCAAAAGACAGATAGATACATCGTGGATGTTTTCCTTAATTTCCGGCCCGATCGTTTGTAGATTGTCTCTCTTCTCGGAACGAGAATTGTGGGGAGTTAATCAAAATCTGGACTTCTAGAACAATTTCGATTCGAGGAAACATTCTTCTTTAAAGGAGAATCGTCGTTTCTGTGACAATGATATCGTGTCTCCTTTTGTTTTGTTACGATCCAAAACATCAACAGGGGAAAAGATCCCCAGTCCCCCCACAATTTCCAAAGAAAAAGAAGGTTCTAGATTCAAGTCACTTGACAAGAAATTTGGTACACGGAGCCATACACGATTTTCGATATTCAATATCAAATCAAGTGTAATCGATATTTCGAATCGAACATCGAATCAATATATTTGTAATCTTTACATCTAATATATGTCCTGTAGTATTAATGTTCTGAGTAAAGCTTGATATATTATAAAGTATTAAAATATAAGTGTTCTCAAGAGCTGGGCTTCGGCGTTCACCAATGTGCATAAAATGTGGATAGTCAATGGCCTTTTTCATGCGTGAAGATGCTTCAAAAAAAGCAATCATCTCGTACAGGAACAACACATCTAGGGAATGCATGCCGGATTGAATCCTAAGGGGTTGTCGGCTCAACAATGTGGAAGAGCATGTTTAGCGTGAAAAGAGTTTGGTATGAAGGCATTCGAACGGCTAGAACGGGATAAATTGACGAGCGTTACTTTGACATCGGATTGAGGTTCTGGCATTCGAGGCTTCGATGTTTTGATGTATGCAAAAATCGCATCATAAATGGTCCAGAACTTTCAGTCTCTGAGTCATTGCGGCGTCTGGCTGAAAATGATGATGGAGCAGAGCTTCTCAATTTTCTGATAGCATGTAACTATTCTCAATCAAGATTTTTTGAAACTTCGGAGGAAATACCGAGATAGTGGTTGACATGTGGAGCGATTGATATCGAGCTGCGATGCAAAGAAAGTCATCGAAGGTTAAGGTTACATTTGAAAGAAAGTTCAAGGCCGAGGTAGCTATGAAAGGGTTTCCGAGAAGAGATTTTTAAATGTACACCTAACTACTGCATGTCAAAGCAACAGTCAATAGCCGGGCGCCGAGAAGGAATTAGGGCGGAGATAGTCCTGAGGTTTACTAACTTTCAAAGGTATGACGAGCGCCGTTGAAGAAGGAAGAAAAATGATTTGAGATTTGATGAAGTCGTCATAATGGATGAGATCGTGAAAGCTGTAGCTCCAATTAATAAAGAAGCCCAAACAGTCTTGATAACTTGAATATACTACATGCTTGACGCCCAGGCCCCTACAGGACACTGCTTATGTATTTGTATACACATAGCAGTAATCTATAACTTATCAATGGTCATAGAAGTAAGACTAGTCCATTGAATAGTCAACACTCTTCCCTGTGTGGGATAGGGGAATCGAGACTGTTTCCAAACGCGAGATCTCAACTGCCCTTTCGACAAGACAAACCAAGGCTCTTTCCGCTTGTCAACATTTAGCAATCCGGAAGATACCCAAGAAGAAGATACGGAAAATCGCCGTCTTCAGCCACCATTCTAATCAAGAGTGAATGTCGAAGGGAGTACCATAGATCGCGTGCCTGTAATGAACTTGTAGACTTCTCACGGGTCAAGCGTGCCATGATCAGAATATGGTCATCACAGCACCCCTAAGTAACACGCGGCATACCATATTGACTTACCACTCTTGAACATGTGCGCAGTCATATTCACGAAGGCAGAAACTTGAGCCAAATAGGGACTCCTGTGTTACACTGCCTCGTCTTGGGGACGCGTAAATTTCCTTATACCTGTGCAGATTGGCACGGATTGAAACAAACAAAATTTTGAGTTCCGGATCAAACCCTCGGTGTCGGTGACTCTGTCGATTATGAGTCCGTTCGAATAAAGTTTTGACTCTCAGGTGCCATAGGCATACCAGTACAGTTTGACATGAGAAAGTCAATTCTGAGTGGACAATGGATAATGGACATTGCGGCCATTGCGGAGTTTGCGGGGTCGGAATGTAGTCGGGGGAGGGCAGGGCAGGTGATGATCGTAACTTTAGCATCAAGTTTGACAATCTATTCGACTCGGCACCTACGGACTTACGAAGCACCAAGCCTTCAACAGAGATAAAGCGAGATGGTGAGAGGAACATGTGATATTGGTAAGCTCGTACGTTGAAGCATACATTATGTAGGTACGCTACACGGACCGCGGCATTTCTCTCTCGACATATTTTCTTCTTATTTTCGAGACTAACGTGAAGTTCTAACAAAACCTTATACTTGCGGAAGGGCTATCCACTGACGGTCCATTTCACAGCTTCGCAACGTTCCACTAAGTATCGATAATAAGTACACATGTTCTCAAGGCTGAGATCGTAGATCTACAGCATGTTGTAGTTCTCCAGACCAGATCTCAATCTTTCACTCCATACATAGTAGATATGTATTGATCCTTACTGTCAATCATATGAAACCCCAGTGTTTTCGATAGCTTTGGTAGATCCGTTCATTGCATAGAAGACAGAGTCTTCCATCTTGAAATTCTATCTCGATGCCTCCTGATATACCCGATCGCCCTAACGGTAAAACCACAAAACAATTTCAAGGGTATTTCTACCAATCCACTTATAACGACGCACGGTCGTCGGACAAACTCTGACGATTCGTAGAGATCCATGGATGCTAGACAAGCCTTATAGCTCCTTGGGCATGAGAGTCGCGGTTGATCTTTCGGTGCGAAGCGGACATACATTGTGGGTTTCCTCTGTAAATACGATTAAATCCAAGAGATTGGCAGCGAATATCTGAGTCACTTGACGAGTCTATTTTGCTGGACATGTCTTTCGGCCATCTCCTTCGGTTTAGTTTTGACAGGAGAATTTGGCTTTTTACGAGAGATTTGACAATGAAACGTTTGAGTACCGAGGAGATGGGAAAGGGATCTCAAATTCTAATGCATACCCTCCCTTTCTGGCCATCAATTTGAAATCCTCAAGGTTATTGAAATATGAGAAGAGTAAAGGAGATAAAATGGGGTATAATTTGGATGTCTCTACCGGTATTAACCTTTCGGGACTGATATTGTTGACTGGGCATTTCCTCAAGCTTCCCGGCATCTGTGTGTAGTAATAGTAATAGTATTGCTTCTTATCACAACCCAACCCAATGCGCCTCGTTCCCAAAATAATTTGGCGCAGGAAAACTTTAAAAGGGTTGCCTGGTTGATTGCGCTCGAAAGTCTAATAGGCAAAGTACGAGATGTTCTTTCATACCTTAGAGCAGTAGTAGTAGGTAAATCACAACCCTGTGAGTATCTTTGAATGGAGACACGCACAATCAGCCGTGAGTTAGTTGACTTGCCCCGAGTCAAATGTTTTTCTGGCGGCAACTTTAAAAATTTGGCAAGAACCAAATGGGCATACTGCAGAGCATGCGGATAGCTCAAGGTTACATCGTAGCATGCAACAAAGTCTGATTAAGCCTCTCATTCATTTACGTAGGGGTAAAGGAGAGCATGGGATTTGTGATGGTTCCCGGTACATGCCACGATGGTGTTTAGGGATCGACTTCATTTGAGCCTACGGTATTGACCCAACACCTTCCGACAAGACGGTTCACTCGAAGGAGTAGAGATCTGTTGACATTCAATATTCTCCAATACTCCCCCGCAACTCACGGATGATTTTCATTCGATCGTCTAGGGACAAATCGATTTTACGCAGCACATCGCCACAAGAACTACTCCTTAACCTTATAGGGCATGTACAAGCAATTCTTTAGCCCCTTCATCTACAGAGCAACCGAATACGCACTTTAGGTGCTCTTGTGCTCTAACCATTCACGTCGACACCTACTCTAGCCGTTCCTACCTGTGTACTAACTAGTGACTACATTGTACGAAAGTACGGACGTAGGAAGTTAGGAACCGACGAACCGACGATGCCGAGTGAATTACTGCAACTGCCTAGTCCACATCGGCCAGATCCGAAGCAAAGTATAGCAAGTATAGCAGCTATAGCCATGAATAATCACAATTATATCACCAATAATACCTCAAGAGGTTACTTCAAGATGTTGCTTGAATCCTTCATGGCATTGTTTCCAGTCATTCCCGTGTGAGAGCTGCAGGCTGCATGACCATAAGACGATAGACCATTTCTCTCCAGAGTGTATCAGGCCATAGCAATTTACGCAGCACATATCAGCTGTTTACTCTTATCGGAACCCAAGGACGATATTCGCATCATTATTGGGTATCGTTGGTTTCAAGACATAGCAAAGTTTACGTGTGCTCCACCTATCAGCTCATCAATCCACGACAAGACTTGGAACAATTATTTTGAATTTTTTATTTCTACGGCGTACTGTACGTAGTATTTTCGCTGGACTGCTCGCTGGACTGCCCCCGCTATACCACATCTATCGAACATTGGACTCAAATCTCTTCCTTTCCTTTCTTTTCCCACCCACCAGCACTGGAACATTTTTTTCTCTTCATGTCAAACTAATCAAGCGTACCTTTCAACATCAATTGTCCATATCCCCGTTCCTTGATCTACATCACACAATCCCATTTTAAGGGTAGCCGGTTCCACACCCTGGAGAGGACCTGTTGACTCGAGATCGGAAACTGATATTTCGATCGGTCTTTTTCTTGAAAGACCTTCAATCCCTGCTGGAAAAATTAAGAAAAACTTGAGACGAGTTCCCCCCGCCTTGATTTCGACTACTTGACGAAGGCTCCTCATTGGTGTTGGCATTGGTATTGGCATTTTCATTTAACAGAATCATCTCGTTACTATTATCAATTCGAAGAATTAATGTAAAAGTCCGAGAAGCCTCTTGGGAAAGTTTAACGAATCCTTTTCTCTTTCCATATTCCTATCCAAACGATCCATATCTACTACTACCTGGCACGTACAACATTGCGCAGCACTCACATCTCTTATACATATTACCATCGTTGCATCTGCCCGCATTCCAAGCCAAGGACCTGCCGCCTTTTCTATTTTAGTGAACGAGGGTACATACCAAGTATTACTCTTCAAGAGCACATTATATCTTGTGTTGGGGGTTATTGAGATTTATCATATACTCGATAACTTCATCATTTTTCGAACGATCAACCAGATACAACAGATACAACATCTTATCGCTGCGAGAATTTATTCACATCATCAACACCATCCCACCATACGACACACATATATAAAATGTCATCCTACACATTCTCCAGAGCTTCGTCAGACTCCTCGTCCTCATCCTCATCATCGTCTTCATCCTTTCAATCATCATATTCAATGGAACCAAGAGTGGAAGTTATGCGCTGCTCGAGATGCGCCAAAACTGTCGAAACCATCAGTACAATGCAATACCAAGGCAACGAGCTACGAAGAGTCAGCACAGATGATGCAAGCGCCAACGGGATGGTACGATTTGGTCACAACCTGTACTATTGTGATCGTTGTGCCAAGATGGTTGGTTACAAGTGAAGCGAGAATTGATGAAGGGGTTTCAACGAGCGTGTACAGCGCGACAATCACAACTTAACAACAACAACGAAGGTACGGGATTGGGACTTGGATGGACGTAAAGATAGGCGCCTCCGGATGATTTGGAGTTCAGGGAATACTTCTTGGAAAGAAGCCCATGGGAAGGGATTTGGGAATTTGGAGTATGGAGTTACGATGTGAGGGCACGATTGATACCTATTTCCGATACCGATTTGTTACAATACAGTACTACTATCTACGATACCATACCATGCGTTACCAGTATCTTTGGGTGAAGAATCACTGTACACATGTGTTAGATGATTGCAAGTATACACTGTACAACGCGGAAGCGTTTTAGATGTGTGGTCGTATCGCGTCACATCGCATCACCATTACATCTACCCCGCCAAAAGACTGTATCAACTACGAGCATAGCCAAACTCAATACGACCTCATTTTACGACTTCATCTTACCATCGCTATCGCTATTACTATCGACTCCCGCCCCCACAGTCTAGAGATACAGAAATATCCTCCACTCGAAAAATCTCCAAAATGACACGATCATCTAAAAACGATATATCCTCAAAAACGCATGCACACAGCCTCCTGTCCCTACTATCGTTCATGCCAAGGGAAAGGATAAAAAAAACCGGTCATATTGCACCCTTATTATCCTTGCATTTTATCCGGGTTTCCATTACCCCACAGAGCGTGGAGCTGTATGATTGGGTTCGGCCTCGGAGATTCGGAGAGGAACCGAATTAATTCTCCAGCAAGAAACGCGGTTGCGTGGCTTGAGTGATTTTTTTTGGGAAGAATGTGGAGTGATGTCACTGATGCATATCGTGAGATATTTATTTATCGTTTTGAATGGTTTTTAGACTGTTGAGTGGAGGTGGACATTCATAGTTCCAAGGGTGTTTTAGTATTTTTAGATCCCATGGCAAGGGAGGGCCGTGGAGATATTTTGATGCTTGGGTTGGATGGGGGTTACAATGCATACATCGTACATCGTACATGTATGTGCACGAGAAGAAACAAGCAATGATGGATGATGGTTGTGTACTTCATGTAGATATGACATTTTAGTGTTTTCGAGCGGTTTCTTCGGAAACACCTCACTTGTTTTATTTACTGTGTAAATATTTAGCTGGGCTGAACTGGATGTAACAAGATCAAGGAAATATAAATAAAACAAACATCATACATTAACATTGCTACCTTATCATTATGCATTATTAGTGTGAACCCTTGGAAGTTGGATTATTGCCTGGATACGTTATCTAGGGCTCCAAATTTGCAATTTACCAAATACCCTGATCTTACCCTGATCTTCAAATTGTCTCAGTAGTGCGTAGGGTAGGGTACCCTTTTTCCCTTCGTACCCTTCGTACAGTAGCGATATTAGCGATCCTTGGAATGGTCAAGGCACGTGATTGACAAATGAGATGTTTTCCTGCACGGACTCACGAGAACATTTCTTCGACATCTCCACATATCAATTTGCTCACTCAATGCTTCTCACCCCTTTAAAGATAAGAGCAGACAAAAACGACTGGATACAAGGATCGTGAAAATGATGAGGATGTGATTTAATTGGCTTCGTTTCACGTGATATGCAGACCGGTGAGCTGTCAGGTGGAGTTTGAGAGTGATGGGGAGCGGGGAAGGCCCGACCATTTGTTTCTTGGAGGTGGTATGGTTTTGGATTTGAGTTCGAGTTGGGCTGGAGTGGGTAGGGAGGAAAAAGGTCTGTGAGGCTGTGAGGCTGTGAGAGTTGCATAACAGATGGTATGGGAAGAGGTAGAGGGTGCACAAATTGCGGGTTCTGATAAGAAGTGCCCGAGAAGCGCCGGAGTTTACAGAGATTGCCTCAGTGCGTGTAACAACTTCGACGTATTTTGGGCTTTCAGATCTGCAACGAGAGTTTGCTGTCACACGCATCATTGCGTGTGAGCGATGTCGCTGAGAAATCAAACTGCGATCGCGATATTGGGATGCGATGCAAGTGTAGTCTTCGGAGGGAAATCTCTTTCCACCACACTGGTGTAAGAGATTTTATGCGTCGGATTTAATGTCGACTTTTATGGAGCTGCGGGGTTCTGCTAATGCATTGATGCCGCGGCTGGTAATGAGATAAATAATATAACTCAAGGAGGGGAAGAGATAAACAAAATGGAGAGTAGATGCCAGATACCGGGGTGAGGGAGTGGATACCACAAGTCGTGGAGCTTCTCAATTGGTCAAAACAGGACCTCTGGAAGAAGAAATAAGCATTGTGCACTAAGGTAGGTATGGTGGGTTTCTCTTCATCGAGATGTGGAGTGTCTTGCGGCAGTCAAAAAGAAATGGGTTGAGTTAGCGAGCTCGATACAGTATTGGTGCTGCCAGACAATATGCGAGTCTACCGCTATAAAAGCAGATTAGTCCCCTTCCAGTTCACCATTTTGTGGTATGTGCATCTAGCTTCGGAGCTGCATACTTTCTGGACGTACGAGTGCGGCTTTTGAAAGAGTGTGGATGCCATGGTGCAGCAAACAACATTGGGTTCTTGGATGGTGAGTTGAATGACTGCCATTGAAGCTTGTAAGTGGATATATACGCAGTACTAAAAGCAATCTCATCTCCGAGAAATTTCATTAGTTTTTCTGTCTTCTATTGAGATCCTGGCAAATGTATCTCCTCAGCATACCAATGCCGACGGACTGCCGCCCACGTGTAGAAGATTCTCGTAGATACTATGCTCCGTTTACTAGGGCAAAATTCCTCTGCCAAGCAAGGAATTTGAAGAGGTAGTGAGATGTGCTGTTCTCAGCTGCAACCGATAGAGTGAAAGAGGCTTCAACTTTGCAGGCGCTGCGTAGATTATTGCATCTGGAACTTGCAAAACGTTCAGGATAGCAGTCAGGTGCCAAGCAGACTTTGAAGCAAGTGCTGCTGAGCTCGGTCGATACGAAAAGAAAGGTGCATGTATTTGATGGACTCGAAGTTGAGTATCAAGATGCGAAGATTAGGTCTGAAAGATGTAATTTCACCGACGTTTGGCAATTATAGCAGACGCTAGTTGTCAGTAAAATCTTCTGAACAAGTAAGTTGGGCTTTAAGAAACATTAAACGAGGATTTCGAAATGGAGTGGAATTCGTCTGCATATTTGGGTGTGTGTATGGTCTTCACTTTTTGTAGAGACATTTCTGCTTTTCTGGTTCCTTGTTGACAGGATATCTATTGCTTTCATGTGACCTGCCGTTTTTGATATCCAACTCTCCATGTAAAAACTCTAATCTAACGAGTGCTCTTCATCATACTCATCATTTTCATCGTACACACCGTCCTCATCATTTGTGCCGCCATTGTCTTCACTCTTATTCTTCTTATCCATCACCCCGTCATCATCAATCACATTCTCGTTTACGGTCTCTAGCTTTCTACTGTCGTTGAAAATTCCCTCTACTGCTGCTTGGAACATCCGGTGATCCATAGTATTAGGGTCACTTTCTTGGAAAGCATTCTCGTCATCGCTACCATCATCATCCTTTTCAGTGTCGTCATCCTCCTTGAAAACCTCGTCCCATTTCCTTCCTATCTTCACCATGTCTCTAACGCGTCCCGAGTTCGAGAAAAGCGTAGCCCTAACAATCATCCACAGGTCTCTTCTCATAAGCGCACACTTCCATTTTCGATTGACCATCTGCTCAATGATCTGTTTCGGCATCCATGCCTTTGCTTCCTGCTTCTCAATATCGAACTTAAAAGTCGACCACACAATAACATCCTTAGCTCTCCAATTCTCAATTTTCTGCGCTGCGTCTTCAGATCCGTGGTCAGCGACGCCATTGTGCCGGCTTGGATCAAGAAATGGACGCAGATTTGGAAACAATTCAAGAGGGAAGTGGCCGCTGGGACTGCCATTTGGTGACCAGAAAAGGAGAACGAGGCATGTTGGCTGGAAATAGTCCTCTGGTAATGGCGAGAGATCAAATGTGTATTCTTGGATCTTGTCGATGGGATAGAGATGATTTGGATCGAGACGAAATGGGAGAAGAGGGGCAAAGAGCGTCGCAAGAGTTTTCAACTCTGGCACAAAAGGCACGATACAAAGCTTCTTGATCGGATACTTTAGATCAACTTGATCGGGTCGAAGTGGGGCATTGTGTGGTGGTCGAACATTAGTCTTGAGCATTCCCGCGTCTTCTAGCAGTGGGACTAGGATTTCTGAAAGCCAATGGGCAGGATATCCTAGACAATGAAGGTGACCTAGTTGCCGAAAAATAATCATAAGATTGAGCGGCGAATAGATCATATGATTATTGTCTGAAATGAGACGATGATCGGACGTCATAGGAATTGCCAATTTCAAGAAAAGTCCATGAAACCACCTCTTCAAATCCTCACGAGAAAGTCGGGCTTTTACCTGTTTTGAAAGCGGCACGGAATCAATTGGCTGATTCCAACAGTAGTATGTGTAGCTGGCCAGTGGCACAGGCTCGTGCCCCCTGAAAACAATACGCACACCGGTTAATTGCTCGAGCATCTTTTCGCTGCTTATGAGTTGATATTCAGCAAGGAAGTCACCCATGTTGCGGAAAAAGGGTGAATTTCGTAGACACACACTGCCCACAAGACTAGTAGGATGGCGTGCGAGGAGTGGCATTGCATGAAGGAAGGTTGTTAAATGGCCACCGACATAATCCCTAGATTGGAATATTAGACTCTTTGCATTCATCCATCATGTTGGAAGGAGTGTACTCACGGTACATTGCTCAAGACTATTCGGTAATAAAGTGATGGAAAGTCGTCTGGGCGTGGATAGCCAATATCCCCAGTGCCCAGTACCTGGCTCTGAGTGGAATCATAATGGAGACCAAAATGGATTCGTTCAGCGACATCAATGTAATCACCTTTCACTACCTCCGCCTTCAATCTATTACCCAAAGATTTGATCGCGCTTGCTGCCCTGGCAAAAAATGGCCCAATATGAGTAAATAAGGGGGCATGCTGTTCTTTGGGTGGCAGTTCCTCCTTCAGCTCCTCCCACAGCCTCGAGACCAAATTGAATGGATCAAATCGCAAAAAGACTCTTGGCTCCGGATTTCCAATATCTATATGCGCGTCCCAATCAAGCTGTGTCGGGTTGAATACCCAGTTATCCGTCATAACATGGGTCATGAAAAGCCGCGACTCTCTTCCTCTAGGGTTGTGCAGTGCTTCGAGGCTTAAATCCACCAATTTTGGATCATGTTGCTGCATTGCTTGCAGGAATGGCAGAAGGACTCCAGTTGCGCAATAGAGGTCTCTCTCCTTGTTGCAGTAAGGTCCAATGTGTTCCCAATATCCATCACTCTTATTATTGTATATAGAGTCGTACATGGTGCTTATTGTAGAGTCCATTACTTCTTTAGCGGTAAATGCGGTCGCTACTCTGCCTCCAGATACCCAATTTTCGAGCGCTTGGATGTAGAATGGAATGTCTGCTTCGTACAGATAAATCCATTTTAATGGCTGTTGGCCATTTCTCAAACATCTTAAAAGCTCGGCAATCACTTCTTGCAGCTGTTCGTTGACCCATACGGGCATTAAACATGATGCATAGATAAAGTAGATTGTGTTTAAGATGTTCACCGACTCGAACATTTGTTCTTCGTCGACCTGAGAGAGCTTGTCTAGAAGAGAGAATATGATAAGATCTCTAGTAAGCACATGTTTGTTGATATCATTCAACGTGAAGTGATATCGACGTTTTGGTATCTTTCCCTTGGCTTCTTCGTGTGCGATACTAATGAGTGATGCTAGGAAGTGTCTAGCGTCGCCTAGTCCGCTGTTGAAGAATGAAATGATCTCGCCGGCGGGAATTCGTAGCGCAAGGGATTCGTCAAAGAGGGATTTGGCATTGTCATGACCGACAGTCACGTAATCTCCAGCGGATCTCCTGTGACGCATTAAACCCATCCACGCAACCAAATTGTAGATAATAGAGATCAAGATGAAATTTCAATCCACTTACATCGAGGGGTGATATCGTGCAAGTCGCTCCAAGATCTCCACTCTGCGTTCTTTCTGTTTCTGAAGAGGACATTCTGGTAGGTTGTCCTCGGCTTTTCTGATTCTTTCCTCCAATTTCCGAATATGCGTTGTGAATGCACTATCTCTATCACCAGTGACTTGTGCATTCATCAAGAAGATAGCTTTCTTAGCAAACAACATGCACATTTCATACTGACCACTTTCGTAGTAAGCGGCAGAGAGATTTCGAAGTGGTGCTGGATCATCTCGGGATGCTCGAGCTGCTTGCATGTATTTATGGATAGCTATCATAATATTTAGATGCATGCGTTTACACATAGAGTCAGAAAGAGAAATAAATTACCTTTGATGAAGTCCCGAGAATTGTACAGTTCATTGCCTTCCTCTCGCAACCTTTTTGAGGGATCTTCCGGAGAAGACATTTTGATGATTGTGAAGGCTGTAGATTTGCAAAATGAGGAGGGTGATGAGAGTATTTAAGTCAGAAATGAAACAATATCTAAAGTGCAATAATTCTGTATCTCGCACTGGTAGGCCACTTAGTGAATAACCATGTCAGTTATTCACTGTAAATGTCAAGGAGAGAAGCAATCAAATGCAAGACAGCAAATACGAAGCGGAAATTCGCAGTTTGATGAATGTTTGTTCATATGCAAGTTGATCCAATAGTTCCGTTTCAATCTTCGTTGAATAAGTATCAAAATAGCAAACATTTATTATTGTTGTCGTGTTAGCTCTAACACAGGCAGGCTATGACAATGAACTATACAGAGATATCTTATATCAATACAATATTCTTTAAATTTTCATTCATGTGCTTTTCAATTTTAGAGATCGACTTTTAACAAGTCAAGCAATGAGATTAACATCTTTGAAGCCAAACAATCGATTACTGAAACGAATTAAAAAAATCACGTTCAAGAGTAGTCTATCAGATCGTGCAGCCACTTTTATCACTTGAAACTAAGCAGCTTTTGGCCATTTTTCCTCTTTAAATACTGTACCTCTCACTGCAAAAGGACCATGATTAACAGTCTCCCAAGTGTTAACTCTCCATAGGCTATATCTCCACCAACCCCTTTCCATTTTCTCAACCAGAGCCTCTGGCATTCACGCGCTTACAATGCTATTCGCTACATCATATTCGACAGTAGTTCAAGCTATTACTCCTATTTTCCTCAAATCCTCGATCGTAGCACCCTCATATCTTGCATCTTTCTCATCTCCCCAGCTAGTATCAAGTAGTTTTCTCAAATCCTTTAAAAATGTGACTTCCAAGATCTTTCCACATTTTTCCAGAACATCATAATCGCAAAAGACAAGTGCTACATTAAATATACGCATGGGGTGCGTTTGCTTCAGACGAACATTAGTTAAGCGAAATTTGTACTTGAAGATGACATTCTTTTTTGGAATGACAGGTAGAGAGGGCAAGGAGAGAGGTAGCAAAGGCTCGAACAGTCTTTCGAGGGTCCCCGTTTCTTGAATAAATGGTAAAGTGCAAATGTGCTTTTCAGCATGCTCGCGTTTCACTTCAGTGACTGGATTTGGCGAATGACGAGACGGGCGGGCTGTAGTCTAGACTTTGTTCTAGAGAATCTTTGACAAAGCTTCAGACATCCAATGAGAGGAATAACCGATGCTACGTAGATGGGCTATGAGACGAAATGTGATGGTAAGAGTCAGAGGCGAGAATGTTATTGTAGCCGACACGCTTAAGTCTGAATTATATGGTATAGCAAGGCGGAAAAACAAAGCATAGAACCACTCCATACAAAGCTTCCGGGAAAATTAACTTCCAAATTCTAGGAAGAAAGGCTTCAAAAATTCACAATCTATATAGTTGGCCATCGGCCATGGTTCCTCACCACGGGACAACGCTGTCACAGAGGTAAGTTGCTGAGCCATCTTGGTGACAGTAATGAATTGATATTCAGCCAGAAAGCTCTCCACATCATCGAAGGCGGGTGCATTTCGTAGACAATTTGGTCTAACAAAGCTGGTCGGTCGTAGTTTCAAGATTACTAGACACAGGCTCATTTTCACCGACAGTATGATCAAATAACGAAGCTGGCTTATCATTGCCGACAGAGCAGTATTCCTTGGCAATGGCGCGTTAGAAGAATTTGGTCAGATAAGCCTAAGAATATAGGGGGACCCTTACAATGTTGGCCGATAACGAGGAAGTGTTTCAAGAATTCGTAGTCGAGTTTGCAGCTGCTCCAATTCAGACGTTTCAAACGAATGTATCTCTGCCCTCTTTATCCGTTGTTAGAATTTTCCTACCAAATCCGCATTCTTGATGTCGTTGCTTCCCCCCAAGATTTGAAGAGTTCTTCTCGCCTTGACGATACATTAGGTGTAATCCCCAACTTCAAAATACGCCGCTGATAAATTACCAAGGGGTAGGCAATTGTCCGGTACAAGATTGGCAGATTCTTGATATTTGATTATAGCTATTTTGAAGTCAGACACTATGACCAGTAAGCCAATCAAATTGTTCCCTTCTTGTCTCAAGACGTCCGCCCGTTCCACTCCGGATAATGTGATAGATATCATTGTACCTGTCGCCACTGATTATTTGATTATCTTTGCATTTGATGCAGTACTGCATGGTTAAGAACAAGACTGATTCAATTTAAAAAGATTCTTGGGAAGCCAGAGTTGATCTGAGACAAGTGTAAGAGCGTTGAATCCTATGTTTTGCCAGAACTCTAATGATCAGAAGTGTGTTGTAAATAATAATAAGTATGTTGAAATCACCGCTACTAGTATGAATTTTTGACTTCTGAGGAAAGCGCGATGCGGTTCCTCTGGTTGTGATAACGAGAATGAATCAACAACCCGCTCTTGACACTTATAATTTACACTATGACAAGGCACAATCTACCGATTCATGTCTAAGATAAGTACAGTTCGTTTCAATCGATGCTACTTACTAGGTAGTTACTGACAGATTCCGAAGAGTGCATTTTCAATCAATTTCAATTCTCGACAATGAGAATTGAACTCATACTGGTATGCTTCGACAACTCAAAAGGAAAATTTTAAATATGAGATCAACTCGACCAGCGATTATAATCCATAGGAACAATTCGATATTTTTATATGACAACTGACTCTTGACAATGGCCGATTATTTCCTGGCTGGTGAAAGTGTTTGTCTTAGGAAAGTACTTATTCCTTTAGCTTTCTTGGTGTATTTTTCATTTTGATTCTTGATAGAAAATTGCCACCAGAAGTCTCTTATTTTTACTACACAATCACCTAAATTCAAGTCAATATGGTAATTGGCTTCATATCATCAGATGAAAATCGGTCATATGAGTTTATCGATACAAACATTGTTATTTAAATTTAAAGAGCGAGTGACTTATTCATATTTTAGTGTCAAAAGGATCATCGCTTCCCCAGAACAAGTGCTTTTTTCCAGACTAAGAACTAATCGGCCACTAACGAGAGCCGACCATTAGCACTAAGGGGCGAGTTCCACTGAGATATACTAGGCAAGTCACCTGAGTGGCTCGACGTTGAAATAATGCATGCTCATTCTTGATCTGCTGTTTTTCAATATGTCGACATGAGAAAGGATGTTATGACAAAAGTGTCTGCTTCACAATTCCAAAAATAACATATTGATGTGAATGACCATGGAGCTTTCCAGGCTGTCGGAGCGAGAATACGCCATCAACCGGGCGCTATATCAGAAAACGTACATCGAAACAAGTTGGGTCAAAGTTCATTGGTTTTAATAAATAGTCTCCATTGTATTCTTTGTCACTCACGTTACGAGCTTCCAGGGCTGGCCAAGCAAGTCCACATCAGGCTGATACCCGAGTGAAGATAAGTAGCGCCACCAACCAATTACTTTATGCAGTACGCCGAGTAATAATAAAATTTCATAGATTTTCTAAATGCAGTTCGGTTACTTGAAACCTCACTACCTTGGCTCCGACCAATCTACCTGATCCGTAACTTGTCCCGCAGCTGGGTGTGCATAAGAAATCTTTAACCTCAGTCGTAATGGTGGCTAAAACAATCAGTAAATAGTCTGGCATTTTGTCAAGGAAACTTACCCCTTTACTTCCTGTAATCCTCATTGATTGTGTTGCTTCTGCCCCAGGTCCCAGATCCGAGCTTGACATAGCTTGTAATTGGAGTTTTTGTGTTTTAGGTACTGCAGCTTGTAATGCCACTGCAGAGAAAGATTGATGCATGGAGGAGTTCTTAAAACGAGCCAAGACTTGTACTAAACCTTCTGCATTTCGTTGAAGTTGCAATGTAATGTTGAGATCGTTTTTGTCGTAACATGGATGGGTTGGGATTGAAGGAGCTTGAGGTGGAGGCGAAGATACACTCGAGAAAATATCGTTTGAAGGAGTTGCCGTAGCAGATGGGGGTTGTTGAGATGGAGTGCTACCAAATAGGTCCATAATTGAACTCATATTTGACTGTTGAGCTGGAGGTGATGTAGGTTGAGATGAATCGGTGCCTCCAAGTATGTCTGCTAGAAGGTCTGCATTATTTTGAGATCCGCTATTAGCGCCTCCAACACTTGCATCAGGCATTCCTCCGTCTCCCATTAGGTCAAACAACAGATCCTGTTCCACTGGTTTGACGATCTTTGACTTCCTGTTAGATGCTTTACTTGGTTTCTTGCTTGCCTCTCCCAGAACTCGGGATTCTTCCTTAATTTGTGGTGGTGGCATCTTTTCCAATACACCCTTTCTGATGGAATCATAGCTGAACAAGTTGCCATACTCTACCGCTCGTTGTTGAACCTCAATGTCGAGGTTCGTGGAGTTATTCGACAAGATTCGTCGAATCCGATCAATTTGTGCAGGGTCTGATAGACGTGTACTGAGCTTCATCAAGGATGTGACAATGTATTCGGTTGCGATTTGAGTGGCGTAACTGCTGTTAAGAATGGTTGAAAACAAATCAACAACTTCATTCTCCTTAACTTCTTGAACAAGTTCCTCTTCCTCGTATTGTCCACCACGAAGTAAAGTTTCTCCGTATTCTCCAATACACCAGGCACCGGCCAAAGTAAGACCTTCTTGAGTGATGTCCTTTTTCAAGCTAGTATAGAGCTTCTGCACCGCATAAGTTTGTAATTCAGGAGTGGTGGCAATAAGCCGAATGAATGAAGATAGGATTTGCTCTTTGACGTAATTTCCTGCTAAAGTCAAGACTCTTAGCATAGTATCCACATGCCATCTTTTGTTTGGCGAGAATCTGTCTGCTGCGATACCAATTTGGCTGGTCATGATTGGCTTGAACTCATTATCGGCAACTTCCAAGAAAGCAAGGAGTTCCCTAATAAGTACCCTGACATTGCTTTCATTGATGAGAGTGAAACTTAAATCTAATGCACGCCGCCTAATACTGATATCAGGATCTCGAAGACATTCAAGTATGGTATTTCTATGTCGCTGAACTGCGTTTGGCTCAATTGCAACCACTTTAATGAGTGTGTTCAATGCCACATATCGAATATTGTTGTCTCGATTTGAGAGAAACTTTCCAAGGATATTGACACCAAGTACTCTCAAACCAGAATCAGCTTCGATATCGAGAATCGTAAGGACGGCCTCGTATAAAATAGAATTTCCAACGTTCTTTGAAGAATCTGTATTTGTAGCAACTTGGGCCAAAATGTCGTTGATTTGTTCACTTGTTTCTGGATCTCCACGGCCAAGAACTCTCAACAATTGTAATATCTTAACTTGTAAGAATGGATCCGTAACTCCAGTGACATCATGCTCAGGGGCGTAACCGGAACTAGCCAATCCCTTCAGCGTTCGAACTAAGCCACCGCTAAATGGTCTGAATTTCTCCACGATTCCCTCCTCTCCTCCTTCTGCCTCGTCCATTTCGCAGAGATTTGTTACTAATGTAAGACCGCACAACAAAACACCATGATTTCGATCCGACAGGAGGTTTGCGGCCTTTTCGAGGAAATGTTCTTGTAAATCTGGTACTTTTTTGCATATTCTCATGGCACATAATGCAGCCTTGCGACGAATATAGGGGTTGGCGGTAGAAAGAAGGGTTTCGATTTCAGGAAACAAGTCTCGAGACATTTCGACCGATGCAATATTTCCCAGGGTACATAGAGCCAATCCAACGATATATTGATTAGAGTGATTGAGGTCACTGTGTTCGAGTCAGCTTCATGGCTCCATGAGACTAACAGTTGCGCATACTTCTTCAAAGAGTTTGTAACCAATGTCAGTACCTCCTGATTTTCGTCCAGTAGAAGCATTGTTCCCAAATAACCCAATCTCTTGTCCGCAAATCTTGGAGATGCAAGAAGTTTGAGACATTCTATTTGGCCAAAATGTGTTCTCTCACCCAACGTGAATAGGTATAATAGCTTCGCTACATTGTTTCGTCTGCCAATCCAATATGTCAGATATGTTCAAATAAACAAGCGGTGACCTTCCTACCTGACATTATGATCACCACTCTCTTCACGAAAACTTGCTCTTATAGCAGCACTCTCCTTTTGTACAACTGCGCGCTCATCTGCGATTGTTTTCGAAGCTCGCACATTGCGAATGAATTGCTTCACTGTGTATGATGAGCTTGGAAATCGAGGGGTATGGGGCATCATTGTTTATTACTTACATGAACTCATTCTGATACTGTTCAGGGCCCAAAATGGGCCAAACTTCTAAACTTCCCAGCTTAAGAGATCACAAGTTTTGCTTCAAAAAAGGAGCAGGAATAATAAAGTGATTGAATGGTCGTTTTGATTCTGAGGTGCCTAATTGGTGATGCAAAGGCCACCATACTTCGCTTGATGTCTTGATGTCTTTCAGGATGCATCCCCTAAGCTCGGTCTAGTCCGCATACGTGCTAGTGATGGGTGGCGCCCGAGGCTACGATTAAGCCTACTGTGGCTCAGTATGGTCCCGGTGCGTATTTAATACGCGGGTAAGGCCGCTGGTTGAACGGGGAATATAACTCACAGCCTCGAATATCATCATCCATGGATAATGGATAAGCAATGAATCAGTCAACCTGGTCGGAATATTTCTTATTCTAAAGTTTGTATACGAAGGAAATTGGAAACATATCTAATTTGAGTTTCCCTTATGAAATGACATATTCAACTGAGTCCATAAAAGTTGTCAGACCCTCTCCAAACTTTGATTTGTTTCAAAAGGGGCGTTCATAAGGAGCTTCATTACCCCAATCTCTGCGGCCAGCTTCACTTAATTTCTAAATCCATTTCAATACACACGAGATGTCTACTTCTGCGGATGTATACACCAATGGGAATAGTGATGATCATATCTTGCGTCCCAGACCCCAAAATAGCTCTAACCCAATAATTGTTCGAACAATAAGTGAGGAGGGGTTATTACCAGTCAATAATATCAAAGACTTCTCTGAAGATGGTATTTCTACAGGTCCAACTAGGTGAATCTTTCAAATTAAGTTAACTGCTGTATCTAACATGAAGCAGTGGACGTACAACACCTGTTCCCGAAGATGCACCTCCCTCCGTTCAATCGATGTTTTCTGCGAAGAGACAAATCAAAGCAGAGCAGAAACGTCGTATTTTCCCTATAATCGAATACACCTCAAGAGTCTCGCACTTGGATCCACATAGTGATCACCATGATTTCACTGGGTTTTACATTTTGTTTTGGATTGGTCTTGCTATCATGGCAATCACAACGATGTTACGAAATATCAAGGATACCGGTTATCCCATGAGAGTGGAGATTTGGCAATTATTCACAGTAAAGGTTTGGGAACTTGGAGTCGCAGATGCGTTAATGGTCTTATCTACATCCATCAGTCTTCCCCTTCATAAGTTCTTCAGAAGTAGGACAGGTAAATCTTTGGGGTTTCAATGGACCAAAGGAGGGATGGCCATCCAGAGTTTATACCAAATTATTTGGATGGCATTCTGGGTTTCGTAAGTGTTCTTCCTGCATACAATAGTGAAGCGCAATGCTGATAGATAGTATAGCATACCATTCCTTCGAGATTGGACATGGACAGCTCAGGTTTTCCTTTTACTTCATACTATGGTCCTACTCATGAAAATGCATTCATATGCATTTTACAATGGCCACCTTAGCGAAACCGAACGACGGTTACAAGAGCTTGACTCCCCAGCAACTGCTTCGAAAGCACCAGCATATCAATATCCAAGTCCAGGTCACAAGAGAACAGCGTCAGAGATCAAAGCTCTTACTCAAACCAAAGCTGACGAGGTTGCGAGTCTTAGGGAGGATTTAGCTCTCGAATTGACGTCTACCATGGGCTCGGTCACATACCCTCGAAATCTCACGTGGTATAACTATGTCGATTATATATTCTGCCCGACACTCTGCTATGAGCTCGAATATCCTCGCACAGCAGGTATAGTTTGGTCAGAATTGGGATACAAAACTCTCGCTACGTTTGGTGTCATTTTCTTGCTCACTATCACTTCCGAAGAATTCATCCATCCCGTTATGACCACATCGGCAACAAGACTTCAAACTGCAACCTCGTTTACCGAAAATGCCCTTGTCGTTGCCGAATCAATCAGCTTACTTCTTTTTCCTTTCATGATTACTTTCCTTCTCGTATTCCTTGTCATTTTTGAATTCGTTCTCGGTGCATTCGCTGAGATAACTTGTACGTATAAATTTCCCAACGACCCTCTTGGCTTACCCCAAATCTATTTGCACCTCAGTTCTCTCTCTTTCCTTGCGCGCTGTACTGACAACTCTCTCTAAATCTATAGGCTTTGCAGATCGCCACTTCTACTCTGACTGGTGGAATAGTACAGACTGGATGCAATTCTCCCGTGAATGGAATATTCCTGTCCATCACTTCTTCCATCGTCACGTATATCTCGGTTCTCGCTCGTATATTGGGAAAGGAGGAGCCACTTTTATAACTTTCTTCATTAGCGCCATTGGTCATGAAATAGTCATGGCTTGTATCACTAAGAAACTTCGAGGCTATGGCATGATACTTCAGATGAGTCAACTTCCTATTATTTGGTTACAGAGTAGACCGTGGGCTAGAGGGAAGAAGGTGTTGAATAATGTGTGTTTTTGGTGTAGTATGATTTTGGGGTTGAGTGGTATGTGTAGTCTGTATGTTTTATTGTGAGACAGGGGATGGGGGTGAGAAGAGTAGAGTTTGGCCCCGGAAGAGTGGTCATTTCATTTACCACTAAAGGGGAACGTGTATAATATGGGAGGCGTCGTTGGTGGCAGGCTGGTGTGTTGAGCCTCTATAAACTGCATAGATGGGTACCAGAACGTGCACTGCTTATTCTTATAATTTTCTTTGACTCGTCACAAGTTAGATACCACAATTTTCAATCATCGTTTCTTTTGCTTTTCATTCCTTTTGTCTGTTGAATTTCTTACCACGCGCGATTACATAGATCTCGACACAAAATTGTAGATATGGATATATCCCGTATCCGAACTGTACTTAAACTTTATACAAACTGCGCTCTATACTCAATACCATACAATCAGACCATCCAACTCCACATCATGATTTCGATACGAAGAAATTGGATAAACACAACCCCAACTCTCAACTCCCTAAATTCTCATACTTGATAATTCATCAAATCTTCTTCTGCCCTTGGTATCTTCCAGCCCTTCGATACTTATGCTCATAATATCATTCGATCGTTGACAAAACATGACGTCAAATTCACTATAGCTCAGATGCCTATGCAACAAAAGTGATTATATTCAACAAAATTCCCTACTCCTATTTATCCATCTCATCCGTCTCATCTCATCTTTCATATCCGCATCGCTAGGTGCGCACAGCGCTCTTCACTACTTCCCTCTCCTCCCCCAAATCTATGCGCTCGCAAATTTCTTAACGAAAGAGAAGAAGATTCCCGAAACAACGTCATTTCCAACATAGATAGATGAGGTAGCTTGGGTGTGCAACAAAAAGTACCTACCAAGAACCTCCCGAGTTCCACTGGATTCCTTAGTTAGCTAGGTACCTATCAAGGTAAGTGTTATGATACACTTTTCATCCCGTTCCATCTTATTAACTTCCACATTGCGCTATCTCATCACAATTCACCTCATGCGTTTCTCTACTTCATCTCATCTCATGTCTCTCGAATCTTGTCGTGTATCTCTGTATCTTTCCAGGTAGATAGTTAGGTGGACATATTCTAGCATTGGCATTCATTCCGTTCCAAACAAGTAACTGTTGCTCCAAAACTATATCTCTTTTATTCAATTGATCAACGGGTTTTGCTTCTCGTCCCTTAACCCCGTCTTTCGAGCACGAACCTACAAGTACCATTCGTTCTACAAAACATCACAAATATTTCATACACTCCCCATTTCCACATCCATCCTAACCCCCACCCCGCTTTCCATGAATTTCCTCCTAGTCCTCATCCTCCTTCCTCGTTACACCGGTTCTGCCCATTCATGCAATGTTCAACACCTCCCACGAACCTCTAACCTCACTTCGAAGTTCAAACTATTTTTATCGATGACACTCACATTCAAAGCACAAAAGCAATCATTACTTGAAAACTTGTAGAATTCCATTCATTCATTCAATCATGTCTCATATCTATCATTCCAACCATCATCCATGGTCATGTTCATCAATCAGCACCCAGGTGTTTAGATCACTGGCCTGCATGAATATTCAATCATATCCTCATGTCCTCCCTTATCAAATCTTTCTTCTCTTCTCTCCCCGCTCTCTTCCGTTGTTCAACTCCTCCCGAGTGAACCATTCCATATGCCATGCCAATACCGATGATTCCTATCCGTTCATGCACTCTCGCAAACAAATGCCGCAAAAGAACTCAACCAAATCATCTTAACTCATCCTGTCCTCATATGTAATCCATCAATTTCACCCTTCTGCCTCCATCCACCACTCGCTTATCGCGAGAATTGCAGAGTAGCAATGTTACGTGCGTATCAATACCCAACCCACCCAACCCATCCAATCAGAGGTACAATCCAATCATAAAACTACAACGATGAATAACTAACTCGATCCAATGCAATAGCAAATTCCAGACTCTTGCAGCGACATATCGAGGAGAGAGCCAAAAGCGAAAAATGAGAAAGAAGAAAGATTTGTAAAGACTTCTTTTTTCAATTTTCTCGGCTAGATGTATCAGAGAAAAATTCTCTTGTCCTCTCGACCCGATTAGCTAGCTGCTATAGCCTGTCTGTTTTCTTGCATAATTCGTCGTGTTCGTGTTATCCCCGTAAAAAAAAAAGTAAGAAAAAAACCCAATCAGCTAAAACTGTAAAAAGAAAAGTGGGGAATCATAATGTGCTGCGCTGTCGTTACTGTATAAAAAGGTGTATTGTGTTTAAAAAAGTCGGTGTCGGTACAAGAAGAGTAATTTATGTAACAAATTGTAAAAGAGAAAGCTTGTTGAGTAAATGCTTAGTAGACCGATTCACGACCACGAGCTGCAGGATAAGGTGTATAATCGCGTTGGTTTCCCGGTTCGGTAGCTCTTCTATCGACATAATGGGTTCCAGCCGAGTAGACAATATTTTCGGGTGTGATTGGAGCAGAAAAGTTTACATTGTATTGTGGTGGATATCCACCACGACTTGTGGCCCGAGAAGCCTCTCGAGGTTTGGGTTGGGCGTTGACAACTACGGGCTCAGTTGGTTCGGGCGCAGTTGTTGGGTGATATCCTCGTGACCGAGATCGCACCTGACGAGAAGCACTCCCACCACTACGTGCTAAAGGAGGACGAGTGGTTCGACGAGGCGATGGACTTCGAGGTCGCGTGTAAGCAGCATCGCGGAGATCTGATCGATAAGAGCCTTTGAGTTCACTTCGCCCATTACTACCAATGACGTACGTTTTGGTAGTACCAGAGGGCTCAGGAGCTCGAGGCGGCTGTCTAACATGAGAATATTGAGGTGTTGGTGATGGCGACTCAGAGTCAGATCCAGAATCAGATTCTGACACCGGATTCTGAACTACCCGAATTGGTCCACGACCCCTATCCCTAGTGTCTGTCTTCGTACCCATGCCTTGTGTAAATGTAGCTGCTCTGGTAAATGTAGGTGGTGGAGGTGGCTCTCGAGGATACTCCGTCTTTGATCGACTAGGCTCCCGTCTACTCGATCCAACCCCAACTATCGGTGGTTCCGAATATTGTTTGTTAAGAGTAGGTTTTGTAGGAGGTGAAGTTGATGCGGTATTTACATATGGTGACTCCCTAGTTGAGCGTCTACTTGGCTTTGGCGTATCTTTGCTTTTCGAAGGAGTTTCTGCAGAACGGCGTGATGGTCGTGCTGCTGATCTCCGTGGTGTCTCATCATCACTATGATTTTCATAAGCAGCAGATGGGTGTACTTTATAGTGATTATTATATGGTGTAGATGATGGCGCAGTAAACGTTTCTGCTCGACGCATAGTAGGCATTGGAGGTGGCGCTGGCGCAAATGGCACCTCTGGTTTAATATCTGACTCTCTTCGCGAAGCTTGGACATAACGTGCAGCATTTGCCATATGATCTTTCCACTTGTCTCCCATCGGCGAGTCTTTCACCTCTGGAGGGTCTCGTTCTCGTTCTCTTTCTCGCTCTCTCTTTTCCCGTTCCCTCTCTCTGTCGCGTGACTCTCGTTCTCGTTCACGTTCACGTTCACGTTCACGTTCTCTGTCACGAAGCTCCCACTCTCTGTGCTCCCGTTCTTGTTGAAGTCGAGCAGCAGTTTCGGCTCTCAATTCCTCTGTCCTTCGTGCGGCTCGTTCCGCTTTTCGTCGAAAATCATCCTCACTGGATTCGTCTTCAACATATGTGCCTGGACGCACTTTCTCTTCGGTGCCACGTCTCTTCTCCTTGTCGCGAGACTTCTTTCGATCTCCGTGATCACGCTTAGCTTCCTTTTCCATCTTCCGTCTCATCTTCTCTCTTTCTTCTTCTTCCTGTTGTCTTCTTCTTTCCCTTTCATCTCTATCCGAATCTCTAGTTGTTTTGGTTCTCCTAACAGATGGTCTCGGAGTTTCTTCGTACAAATCCTCATAAGATCTCGATGGCGGTTTTGAATACACATTTGACTCTTTTGGTGGCTTTTGCGCAGTCTTTGGATACGAGGAACTGTATGTCGACGGTCTAGGTTCTGCGGTCCTAACATTGTATTCATAAGTTTTACTAGTCGAGACTGGATTCGAAGTCGAAGTTGAAGTCGCAGTTTTGCCCAACTCCTCTCTCAGCTTCTGCAGTTTGACTGTTTGGTCATATTCTGATCTTCTTGATACATCACTAAGTATTTCATATGCTTCTTGGACCTTTTGAAATTCATCGACCTTTATTGCCTTCAATTGAGGATCTTGAACTTTGTCCGGATGACACTGGAGAACAAGTTTTCGATATGCTAATCGAATCTGAGGTAATGCCGCTTCTTTATCAACACCGAGGGTTTTATATGGATCTGTAGGGAGGCGTGGCGAACTCATGGCGAAAGAAAAATGAGGGTATTAGGTTCAAGTAATGAAAGATGGGAATTTGCGTAATGTATTGCTCGTAAATTGCAAACCTTCGTGACTGGTCTATTGCATTGTCGTTGAGAAGCAAACGAAGAAGTCGATGAAAGTGAATTCTTAGATGTCGATGTCGATATCGTTATTGATCTGCTTCGAGAAGTGAAGATAGAAATCTATTGCAATGCGGAAGTTGTGAAGCTGATTATATTAAAGAATGTTGTAGAAAAGGAAGAATGTTGAGACGATTCAAATCTGAAAAGAGCTGAAAGGATTTACTATTCAAATATCGGTAGAGGAATTGTCGATATGCAAAGGATCCGAATGGTATTGGAGAGAAGATAATTTGTCAACAGAGGAGTTGAGAGATATTTGGAAATATCTTGGATCCGATCTTTCCCAATCCTTGAAAATCTTTGGGGGTCCAGGTTCTTGGAGGCTTGGATGAGTTGAATAGTGAATGAGGTCACGGATTATCCCGACTGGATAGTAGGTACCCCGTTGAAACTGTAAATTACCTTTGGGATGAAAACGGGCTCCAACCAAGGGACCGAGATGCGAACCACGTGGAATAGTAAAGGCAAAAGGCAATGCAAAAGTAAGGCAAAATTGAAAGGCCGAAAGAAGAGGCTGGAATTGATTGGTGATTGATTGAAGATACCAAGGCGATGTGAGATCCCAAAGGGTGAAATCTTGAGTCAGCAAGGCGCAGCGAAATCAACGGGAAAGCGGAAACCAGTCAAGATCCCGTGAAGGCAGCGAAGAAGAAAAAGAAAAGTCTTCCGTAAGCTTGTGGCGATTTGTAACCTTCAAGATTGTTCCAAAAGGAATTGAATGGACAGAACAGAACAGAAATAGACCGGTAGAGTGAATGATGTGTACAAATTTGCCTTTCGGGTCGGATGTATACAGAGAATGGTTCCGTCCGGTGGTCGTCAGAAGTGAATACGGAGTATTCGTAGCGCAGAAGATAAAGCAGTAGCAGCGGTAGAAGAAGTAAAAGAAGAGTGACGTTCCCCGGCGTGAAGTCCTGGCAACTCTGGACGGTATATCGTACTGGGATTGTATTTGAGATTGTAATGATAATGACAATGGTGTGATGTGATGTTGAAGGACAATTGGTATTGACGTTTTGTTCTGCGCGAGTACTCTATACACAAGGTAAAAAGTAAACACACCAAAACGAAGGAACCGAAAAAAGGAGGAGAAAGGATTCTAATGGGTACTCAATCAGGATATATGGGAATGACAGTAATACTGAGGATTCGAATAGATTCCCAAAGAATGCCCTGGTGGATTGATTCGGTCCCCGCCTTATTACTGGTAATGGTAATAGTAAGAAGTAATGCTAAGTAATACTCCGCTTTCCTGGTTCAACTGGCTCAAAGCAGTGTAAGAACAAGACGAATGAACGTATCCTATCCTTTGGTATGGTATCGAATGGGTCCAAAAATCCGGTCTCTCTAGTAAAACAGTATCATTTGTCTGTCAAGGTACCAGGCTCAGTATAAACGGCAACCGCAGTAAAAGGTAGGCATAGAATATCAAATAAGGATATAGGGCGATATGGGGACAACGAGGCGGTGAATCGTCGTCCTGACGATTACGATTTGCGAAGGAAATGGCCCAGCCGGGGCATCCACTCCCTGAAACTATTCACGAATGATAGAACGAGGTTTCTGTAGAATGTTGTAATCCTGTAATTGAAAAAGCTTTAGGCCGTTCCAAGTTATGCTTGTCAGAATTTGAATTAGTCGATAGCCTTAGATATTTTATGATTAGTCGAACTTTAAAAGGGAGTATCCGTTCGATAGTCGACAGATGCGTGGATTTAACTCTATTGGTAACTCTGAAGCATTCAGTGTCCCAGAGAACTTCAAATCAACGTCAACGTCAATAGGGAATGGGCCAGAGCAGATAAATGGACTTCGCTGCCTTGGTCTTGGTATAATGAAAGTTGATTATGACGCGGATTGATTTGACTCGACTCGATTTGATGGGGGTGATACGATGGGGTGATGCAAGTGGGAGAATTGGAGCCATACGATACGACGCTGAGTCCTGTATGATATGTATGTATGAGACCTGGAGATGGTAACGAGGTAAGCCTGGCCTGGGCTAGATATTAGGAAAAGATAGCTTGGCTTTTTTTTATCGAATGGTAGAGAATGGAGTTGAGTTAAGTAGAGCCTGGCGTGAAGATATCAGAGTCCCCACCGCGGGAAAATTCGAAGACGTCTCAATAGCGGTAGTAGATCTAGCAAACCAACACGCGCCACAATGATAATGATCGAATAGAAGCGGAGCCAAGTCGTTGAACGGGCAATAGATGCAGCACAGCTTGTTTGAATATTGTAACTTCGTAGGGTATAGGCTCAAAAGTGGTTATTATTTGGTATCAATTCAGCTGGGTTGGTTGACATGTGAGGTAAAAACATCTGAGACTCATGGCCACCAGGCATCTCATGTTGGCAAAATGGATATAGTATCTATGAAGTATTCATACTAGATATGTAACATTTCCACTTTATTGTGGCTCAAAGTCAAGCATTCATCTCCATCACCAGCCTTAGAAAATCAGTCCATTACCGCATTCAGAGTCACTCATCCAAAACCAAGTAAATAAACAATGATGGCAACTCCGGAAGGAAAGCAGGACGTGATCGAAAGACCTTTCAATCCATTGGTGATAGATTAGCCAATAGAACGCTTCAAACTAAGTCCCATCAAGGACTCATGGTGCATGAGACCACCACGTTTCTACTGCACGCTCGAGTAACTCGGATGTCACTAATGAAGTAGTTTGTCCACAGCTAGGTTATTCCAAGCTACGGCTAAGCGATGTAGAATTCAGTCATCAGCTTTGCCTGCCGAGCCTACCTAATTATATAATTCTTTTACCGCCGAATACAACTGTGATTATACTTGAAGTAGCCGCAAAAGAACATTTCCCGACCTCCAGCTTTGAGCATCTAGAATATGAAGGGGGGGTATAGCTAACGTCAGATATACCGGATAAAGACAGGTACCAAAGTCACTGTCAGCACACCCTTCCATCCATTACTTCCCCCTCTTTTCCTGATCCCCTGAATGGATGAATAGATCAAATGGAACGTCGCCTGCATCAAGGCCCAACTTATTGTATCTGCGGCCCCGGCATATTAAAATCTATCAATTTTGTATGGTCCATTTTTGATCTCTTTTCCTACCAAGTGAGAAATCGTCAGTGTTTCCAGAATCTAGAGGTGCAGAGGTGTTCCTGAGCCGAGACCTCAGATTATCAATTTCCTGCTGTGTAATTATCATCATGCAGACGCCCATGCAAAGATAACTCTCATCTGCCCCATTCTGTACTCGAAAGTACAAATCATCTCTCTTCTTCTTCCCACTTCCATTGATAAAATAGCTTTTTCTAGCATATCATGCATTCTCATGCATTCTCATGCATGTACTTATGTACCTCGAGCATTAGTTTGGCAGGTCTTAACGATCATTGATGGTCTCCTTCCCTTGGTTTCCATATGCCCCACTGATTGATCACTCGTACAGAGTACACGGTACAGCAGGAAATCGAGAAATATCCGAAGCTTCACCTCGAAAGAAGTTGCAAGCTAAACATGGAAAACCCTATCAGGATCTGCGAAAGGATTTCAAACAATCAACAATATCTGTACCGCCTTTGGCGACAGATCTCCCGCACATCAGAGGCACATACATCATGTACTAAACCAAACCAGGGCATTGCGGGTTAATTGTCACCAAAATGGGGTCGCAGAGCTCATGACCTTTACTCAGGGACACTTCCCTAGTAGCTAGTAGGTCCACCTATCAAACTGCAAAAATTCGCCATCATCCTAGTAAACACATTTTTCTGCTACCAGTTACATATTTCGAAAGTCCGATGGTGCTCCTGCAGTTAATAATGCAAATGCGATGCGAGGACTTCCTTGTCCTGTATCGGCTGCCCCGCCATCCAATCTGAGTTGACTTCCCATAGCTTTTGTTTCAGCCAAAAGGCATCATACATTTTGACACGCTTTTTTACCCCTCAGTTCCAACGATCCCGATGAATATCCATCCCCCCCGCGCCGTTACTCATATACTCATAGATACCATCGATGAGAAGGATTTGCTCTATCTTGGGAATTCAACACAGTGTGTTTGAGAATCGTCAAATTACCAGTTCCAGTTGCAGTGTAAAAAGTATTGAGGCCAATTGCAGAATGTTAGGTTCAAGTTCTAACAAGTATGAAGTAGGAAAGGTTGTGGTGGAGAAGAGAGGATTTGGGTTTCACTCAATTGGCGAGATCATCTGAACTTTTTCTTTCCTTTTTTTTTGCGTCGTGATTCACATGAAAGCGAAGGGAAGGAAGGGTCCGCTTGACAGCGGACATCCCGCCCTTGAAGGAAAGAGTTTTGACTCCATACCTGAAGTCTAACTTTCTAAGACTATGGACCACGGCGGAACCTCGGATAAGAGGGGCAACCTTAGACAGTACCGATACCCAGGTAGTATTTATCAAGAGTTATCAATATTTGACAATCCTGCGATTACGAAACGAAGGACGTACCTCAACTCCTCGAGGACATACTAATGTCAATTATGAATTGTCAATTCTCATCCAAACAATCCTAGGAACAATAATATCACAATACGGGGGAATCAAAGACAACCTTTTGCAATGGACACTACCTACCTGGGCATTCTCTAATCCTCCAATCCTTCAACAGCATGCCTAGGTCATGTTAAACGATGTCTAGATTCCAGCTTTTTCCCCGTACAATTATGACATGATCATTGATCATTTAGGTCAATTGAAATCCTTTGGCACCACGTATTCAATACTTATCATGCTTTACAGCGTTCATGGGCCTTTCATTAGACCACAACAATCGCTTAACCAAGCAAAAATCCATTGTGTGGCCAATATTAGGCCTATATCTCATATGTGTACAAGCTCTCATCCAGTAAATTTTTATTATCTCCAGCCACCCTTACTTTATGCCATACATACAAACAAACAAACAAACAGCTAAACAACACATCAAACTCATTAAACTCGGATTCAATTAACAAAGCATCAAAATCCTTCATCGCCTTGGAAGTCACTCCACTACTATGATGGAATTCCACCAATTCGGTTTATTCTCCAACCGCGAATACCAAGATATGACGATATCTCTTTCGATAAGTCGATGAAATCGATATCTCTCCTGATCGGCCCCAGCTGGATCGTTCTGACAGTCGATGGCCATGGGGTCGTCGTTGATCCGGGGACTCTGTTTGTTTTTAGATTGATACCCGAATTCAGATCACGTTGATTGATATCCACCTTTTCTTATCCTCTCGACTCTCGAGCCTCTTACGGTGTGGACTCCACTTCCAAGTCAGAGGACTCTCTATCTTCTAGGATCCCAAGTATTCGATTGCGTCAAATGCGCAGGAAGGAAAAATATGCTTTCCTATCATCCCACTTCATTGTCCCCACTAGGTATACTCGAGGACCCATATCAAGATACCTAAGAACCTGTCACCGTGTCACGAGCCTTTTCGAATTACCCCTCATGTTCATCTTGAAAGATTCTCATTCTTATTTCTGTGAGTCAGTACCTGATCAACATCATTAGTACCGATTTACTTGAGACTTTCATGTACGTCATCCCCCTTTTCATTGAAACAGCCAGTGCGTGATCAGCGATGGAAATAGTCTGTTTCGATGTTGCTGTAAGATTCACTTTCTTGGCCTTACTTGGGCGTGCAGCGGCGGGCATACAAAGTCAAAATATTACATGCCTCCAGCCGAGCCATAGTGGTGGGGTGTGAGAACCAATGATACAGTACGATTCTTCAATTATCTTTCCTTTACATTGGTGTCTTGACTCTTGACATATCAGGAATGATATGCTTCTCAAGTCCTCTTGTCGAAACTTTATTTTTAATAATGTACATCACGAAGGCTGCAGAAAATAGCCCCGCCTGCTCTTTTCTGGAACATTGTACGCCCGTCAAGCCACTCCGAGAAGTAGCTGGAGTCAAAATCCCAGCCCTTACTTAATCTTGCTCAACGTTTATTCTCCCCTGGTCTCACAAGCCGGGCGTGTAAGCCAATCTGACCCGCATCCTAAGTAAGACAGCGCTATTGAGAAGCTTGAAACTTATCCTAATGAAGGTCATCACCACACAACATCAATAATCACAATGTTGGTATTCATCGTCAACTAAATCACGAGACAATCTGGAATAGCATCGTTATCTTCATTGTCTTTCCTCTCGTCCATTTAATCTAGTTCTCTATTCGGTTGTTGCTCTGCATTTTGAAGCAAGGGATCTGTTGCCTGAACACGAACAATCATAATGCCACGCTGTAAATTTGTATACTGCAGTGCGTATAACATTTTGCGCATCTGTGGTTGCACGGCACGTATCATTTCTGTCTGCACGTGTAACAAGGCTCGGTGTAACGGGTTTACCCCTCCACGTTCCAATGTAAGACATGGCTATCGTTATCAGAAGGCCCATCCATTCGTGGCTCTCCAATGATTTATGTTGTGGAATTTCTCTGTGAACACAATCACACATGTTGTCACAATCTACTCGGTGATATTCAACCTCGGCGCTTGGGCAGCCTGGTGTGAATGTGGCGTCCGAAGCACAAGGCTGGCTGTTGTGATGATAGGTTGGGGAAAACACGGTCTGGATCACAACTTGAGAAAACTTGTTTTCTTGGGAGTGATCCCAGCATATGTCTGTCTTGAAATGGTTGGGAAAAGATTATCCGATTGTGTATGTTTTTCCCCCAAAATCTCATTTGAGCCGCATAGCATCGAATGAAACATTTTGAGAAGTGTCTCAATGAGTAAAAGTATTACCAAAGTGTGTTGCCTCACATGGCGATATATGGTTCTCGTGCACAAAATGATTTTGCGCTACTTAATCTCTCTGCGGCTTCATTAAACGCGCAGGTTGTCGAGGGCACGAAACAAGGTCGATGCCTCCACACTGAGACTCAGTTGTGGTGTTTACGATAACGAGCTGCCTTTACGTTATGGTGCTTATGTTTTTAGGAAGTGGGGGGATTGTTCCTGCGTGATAAGAATATTCAAGCCCCTCAAATTCGAAACCAATACATTCAGTATCATTGAACATTCAAGCTGAACAGTATCGGCTCGTGTAGTAACATACAATAGCGCTTCTATACCGGCAGTCTGGATAGCCGCGCTGAAAACCTGTGATAGTATAACTGTTGGTCGCTCCAAGGTTCCCAACTGCCGAATACAGCATTTATCGAGGATTGACAAGTGCCGTGAACTGCGGAACGTACTGCAAATGTCTCATAATGCTAGTCTTTAGTTGTCATTATTCTCGTTAACATTGCCGCTATGGTACCAGTGTGTTCAGTAAATCGATTTAATGGGCTAGGTTGACGCTTTAATGTTTCAACGTGATCTAATATTCAGAATCACTTTGAAATTTCAGATCATTTGAGTGTTCCGATTGGATTTAGGGATTTCAAGCGTTTCATTGTCGGGACGCAGTCCGAACTATTGGAAACTCCGCATTAGATCGATTTGTATTATTTTGCTGCTCGAGGAGAATCCTCCACTTTCACTAATCGAGAGGAAGATAATCCTATTGAAGTAACATATCTAACCTTCATTACTTACAGAAACAAACACCTCATTGCAATCTGTAAATCCATTCACATGAAAGACGAACGCCTCTTACCACATCATCTCAAGATCTCTAGCCTTGAATACAACCCATACTTCTGGCCCCCAATCACCACTCGTACCGCGCCACCAACGATAACAACAAACTACAACACCATTGTAGTAATCATAAATGTACACCTGTTCATTCTTTTATTCCACGCAGAGTTAAATTATACTATGTTCAGCCTTGGAGCGCTACTGTAAAGTTCGTTGGTGTTGGATATGGAGATCTTACTTTGGCATGTACAGCGCCGCATTAGCCTTGGGAATGCCTGTTGTTTTTTTGTTGGTTGGATGTTGGTTTTATGGGAGGGCTGAGAGCGAGATTCGTATTGGGGACGGTGGGGATTCTCTTTGGGCTGGAGAAATATTGTTTTGTTGTTGGTGAAGCTGAGGGTGGATATACGAGGGAATGATTAGATTCATGATTCTGTATCCTTTATCAGTAGTTGAAGGATTAGTGTTGAGTCTTATCATTGGTGGAATTCTTGGGATGTTTGGATGCAAACGTCTCATACCTACTGTGTATTCTTTGCGAATGTATCATCAGCTGTCCACTACTATTATGTTGATATAGTCCAACTCTCTCAGCTCAGAGAGAATCTAGATCCTGTTTACTGCTGTTTCTCAGCAGGCTATTTAAATAGTGATAAATTCTCCCTTTTCCCTTCAATCTCTTTTTTTCACCATTCTTTTCATGTTGAGTCTCATCCTTATTCAACCTCGAATTCAACCTCAAGCACTGGAGACATCTTCCAGAAACTGTTATTCTCTTCCATCTCCTTTCAATCAATATTCTTGATTATTTGTCCGATATTCTTTTGCACCTTGCCTTTTTCTTCTTTTCTCTTTTCTCTTGTCACCCGTTCTCTTCAAGTTTTTAGTATCTCAAAATTCTTGTTATTACTCGTCTAAATACTCAATAGTAGATCTTGATCTCAGCTCAAAATATCCGGCCCTATTTATTTTATCTATCAAGTAATCTTGATTCTGCTTTTCTCCGCAAGGGGTTCTGGATGATGATATGTCATCTTTTGACACTTTATTGAGTTGGGGCACGATGTGTTGAGGAAGAAGAAATAAGATGCTTAGCTTGTCTAATTTTTCTACTGAGCTTCTTTACTCTTTAGCTATTCAGTTTTCTGACTTTGCCGTTGCTATCATAACCCTGTTGTTGAGATGCAGCAATGGTAAGAACATGTGGTTATGGGTATGCTATTTGAGCTTCGATAGTTGAGATGACTAACGCTTTTATATTTGCTAGCGTCTTAGTGTTTTAGAATCAACAACTGAGATCATCTATCGTTATCTGCCTAGAATTGGAATCCCGGATATTGCAAGCCTAAAAGCTGGTGTCCGGGGGTTTTATGAGTAGGTCACTAGGTATATTTTTGTGTTGGAATTGGAACATCGTGTATAGTATCTAGTATCTGGTGACTTGACATTCAATATGTTCAATATGTGGCTATCCGATAGACCAGGTCTCTTATTTTAAACTCGGGTTTGAAACCCCCCGTATCCTCGAGCTAGAGGAACGTGTTAATATACGGTGTGTCATGTAACCTATATGTACAATAACGCAAAGAGAGTCGGTAGGTTTACCCAACTCTACATGTAATAATGAAGTTTCTGAGGTACACAAAGAAGTGAAGATTGGAAAAGAATCAGAGAGTTACAATCTCTGAATTAAAGACTGGGTTTGGTTTCAGTGAGGGTCTAGAGCCCGAGGAGTATAAAACAATAGACAGCTGATTATAGCAAGCTATCAAAATAGTACATTGGGTGGACTCAAGATACTCACCTCAAAAACAAGGAACAATAAAATATCAGTAAACCTATCCAGCAATATAACAAAGTACTTTTGGCTGCCGATAATGTAGGGTTTGATATCAATCTCATCTTGCATTTTGAAGTTGCAGAAAAACACCTGTTAAACTGCGATATATCACGAGTATAGTTCAACTAATCACGACGCATGGGATCCAGAGACAAATCTGTTTGGTAACATCCTATTTTGTTTTGTTTCTCACGATTGCTACTGTTAGACTCCCCTCACCCCCCTCTCTTCCCCTTCTTTTCTTTTCTTCTTTATCATTTCAAGCTTGAGAAACTTTTCAATTGGCTTTATGATCACTGTTGAATGACACGAACTCGTCCCCGCCATGTTTTTGCGCATCATCTCTACTCCCAACCAACCCACCAATCTCCTCTGTATGGTATCTTTTATGTGTTCTTCAACCTCACTTTTTACACGAAAGTTGACTAGCACTACCTGCGCCTCTAGACTTCTTTATTCTTTCAATTTCCCTTGGTACTCCCCAACCATATTTCGGTAATCTAAGCATGTCTTCAACACTGTCTCTATCGTTTTTTGTAATATTCGCTGGGCGGAGTCAGACTTCTCCTCTTCCTTTCCTTCTCTTCTTGCTCCTTCCGTCGCTTTTCCCTGCTGTCGGCAATAGTGTTCTTTAATGCGGCAAATTGCCGCCTATCATCGGAATCAGAATCACACCTTTCCGATTGAGAGGCCTGTCTAGAAACTTTGTTCTTATTGTCAAAGTAGTCCCGCTCAATGGCTGCATGATCCAGGTTTCTTTCGCCCAGGACATGATCATAATCTAGGAAATCAGGAAGCTTATCATTTTTTTGCTTAGAAGCGGCCCTTTTTTTATTGGAAGTCGGCTTAGATGTCGACTTAGGTGTCCTCTTTCGGCCAGTTGATTCTTGTGACATGTTGGCGGTTGCTATAGTATGATCATGGAGGAGATGAAGATGTTAAGAAACGCTGGATACTGGCAGCTGAAAGTTGAGATAACGAATTTGATACTAGTTAGTTATAGTGATGGTTGGTTTGAACGTGGAGATTGTTTAGTTTTCGTTTGATGCGCAGTTCTGTCTTTCTTATACTCAAGTTTTAATTTTAGACTGATGATTTTGTACACATAGTCGCAACTGATGACCTCCCAACTTTACTTTTAACGTTACAATGACTAAAAAAAGATCAGGCCGATGTCTCGTACACCGCGAAAGGACCTCTATTCATAGTGGGGCAATTCCTTACTGAAGGTCTTAGAGGCCGAATTATCAATCAATTTGTAGACCAGGCCAAAAAATGTGGTTAAAGGATTCCTCAGAATGCCAATCAACAAGTACGACACTTAAAATTTACAGCCGACCTGTTGTTTTGCAATGGAAAATGATATAGCCTTTTGGTGAGATGATCTCTAACCAACGTGGCCAACAACAGACATTTTCAATTTAACATTGCCAACTTCTTCGATTTGACTGTTCGCTTTCCTAAAACTCTCGTGTAACAGAAGTCGAGGACTTATGAATAACAGTGTACAAGATTTAGCTTCAATCAGAAGCCTATTTCATCATACCTAGAAGACACGATGCATTTTTGGTAAGCCATCTGAACCAATCCTCTTTATAACGAGAAACCTATGGAGAATAAGCACGATCGTTCAAGAATGTGAGAATAAGGCGAGACTGGATCGACTTAGTCGCGAAAGGAAAATTATCGATCCACTTGGACCAAGTGAAAGAGATGCCTGCGTGTATGCATACCAAGAAATGTAAGGATTTCCATCTTAGCATTAACAAACACTCATCTTGAGCAAGCGAGAAACAACCGTAAGTAGATGGTAAGCTATGTAGTGAGGCAGATAATGGAACTATAATATTATTAACAGAACCTGTTTCTGATCAATCTGTCTATTTGGTAGTTGTAATCTGCCTTGTGACCCAAATCCTATTGTCAACCAGTGGACTTTCATCCGAATCTGTGTCGAGGTCCTGATTCTGCCATTCTCTCCCACGCTGAAGATGGGCTGTTGATAGCTTTTTCAACTGATAAGAAGGTCCAGGTCGATCGTTGAATTGACTTGGTTGAGTTTTGATTTGCGAATGATTTTTGGAGAATTTGCTCGCTGACGTTGAGGCACCCAGCGTTGAAGAGAACCAGTCGCTGACAGATTTTGGAAGTTTAAAATACGCTTTGAGTATGGGTCGAACTGCAAAATTGAGGAATCAGTAATTGCCCACGGAAAAAAGAGTTTGGAGCAATAAAGAAAATGGTAGCGTTAAAGTAGCTGTAGGAGATGAAAGAGAAGTACAGAATGAACAAAAGGAAGTTTATATCGAAGAACAGAATCGTGCAAACGTACATGTCGGAACACAGGCTCCTAAAATAGCGCTCCCTTCCTCAATCATCAACCACTCATTCGCAGTCGAGAATCCAGAAACTATATAGACTTTAGTAACTTTCACAATGAAGCAATCCCAATTTTCCTACAATGCTCTGGATCATGAGGCTGATATGAGTATGCTATGCGTAGTATGCATGTCACAATAACGCTGCAAGCTAGTCAATGTCATGTCACTCACATCGTTGAGAGGACGAAATTACTTACAACCCACCAAACCAAAAAACCAAGAACAAGAGCACCTTCTTCCGTACAGGGACATGGAGGTCTCTAATGACGAAAAAAGGCAAGGCAAGAATAACAACATCCAAGATTGCATTGGGTAGCTCGAAGCCGAGAACTATCTCTCCGTATGGAATGCAATGTGTGGTGGGTTCGAGTCTAAGGGATAGATTATATGCTGCTTTGATAGGTGTGCATCCGAACACCGTCAAGCATACAGTGATTATGAACCATATTGTGCATAAACCCATTGTTATATCCACGCATCGAATGAGATTTGGGGTTGTTTTGAATAGAGAGCGATACATGCATAATATTGAGATTTTAACGGCCGTGATGATGAAGGGAAAGTGAATGCTACCAATCCATAATAACTGTATGAGTGTCAGCCTAGGACTATTACAGAAGCTAGATTATATATGGGACTTTACCTCAAGCATTTTCAATCGGTGATCTGGATCCATGACTAGATATGGCTCGAGGGTGCCTGATACCATCGTGATGTCTATTCGATGCAGTTAGTACAAACTATCAGCTCTGGCGATTGTATGTACTCGCCGCAAATGATCACAATAGAATGCGAGGCATACATCAGATAGGCTGCGAGAATCCACCAGTCATCATAGCGGATGAATCGCCCGGTTGTCGTCGTGCCCTTTGTTTGTATTCTGGAAATGACGCGTAAAATGAGGGCTATTGTGTCTATGATCAAAAACGAAACAGTTGCCTCCATATTGGACATTCCATCTGGGAGGATTGAAACCATGATTAAGAATGATTATTGAATAAATTTGCAAGAGTGTAACGACAGAGGTATGGAATACGAAATTGAAAAGGGTCTACATGATGTAGATAAGATTATAAAACCCTTTTTAATCTAAGGAATCAAGTGAATGTTACAAACCACGGCACTCCGAACAACGAGGATGAAATATCATGTAGAACGGTACGGAGGATCTGGGGGTAGTTCCCCATAATCTCGGATGAATCAAGATAAGGAGTGTGATATCGAATCAATAATGCGGCTTCGCGGCGTGATGTCCCAGCGGAACGGCATATCAAAATTCCCTCTCCCCAACAAAACCATATGGAGGACACGCCACCTGCAATTTAGACACGATTGATGGCAATTCGATGGCAATTGTCCATATATGGATGTGACGATGAGTAACCAAAAGTTGGTGAGAGATGCAGGTACACAATAACCAAATTAACTATACATTGTATGGACGGCCTGATCTTGCCGACAATTTACAGCAAAAACGTGCCTTGCAGCATTATTGACAGAAATCGAGACTTGTATCAGATCATGTAAAATCAAAATTGCATTCAGTATACAATTCACCAACATAGGCGGCTTTGAGGTCTTCAGCAAACATCAATCCAACAGCTCAGTATTCAAAGGGGTTCTGACTTGGCCATTCGGTGCCACCTATCTACATTTCCATTGCTTGCAGGAACGTTTCGTAATGCGCCGTGCATATTCACAGTTTTATGTTGTATCAAAAGTTGATAAGTATGGTGTAAATCTCTGTAGGAAGCTGTGATGAATGGGTTTTGAAGGTTGGAAAAGGATGGATGCAAGGGGAGACCCGTGCACGGATGTGGCTCAGGGAGGAATTCAAAGCCGCATCACCTTAATGAAATCACTACTCATACTTCCTACACCATCATTCTGGACCATTTGTGTTTTTAAAATACAGTTTTACTTTTAAGCCGGGTATCTATCATATGCTTCATGGGATATCTAAAATAAGAATCAACACCTCAAATCCTACATAACTGTGTAATTCCCTCTTCCCAACACCTTCAATATGCTGACTTCTATTATGGTCCTCAACGTAAACACATTAAACTCCTCGATCGCTATGCCGCTAAACTAGAAAGAAAATAAAAAATCACACCCTCCTTCTCATTCATTGATTTTCTTTTCGCTTTTCTCTCCATCTTTAACAGCTTCATTCTTCTCACTCTCTTCGTGAGCATTTAATCTTCTCGCCTCTCGTTCCTCCATATCCTCTATTGTCTGCTCCGCCTCATCTTCATTTGAAGAAGCTCCCCTTATCTCCGCCAATACACGTGCCGCTTCCGCCGCGAACTTGCATTTCATTCGAATGGATGCTCCATACTTATAAAAGAGGAATGGAAATGGTACGCAAGCCAATGCGAGGAAAGCTGGAATTGAACTTGCCCAATGAATGCCGAGGTTGTTGTACATATCTAATCATACAGTTAGTTGTCTGTTTGACACACAGTCATGGAGAATTTAGATAATACTTACAAGTAGTAAAGAGTGGAAACGCCGCACCAAACAAGGAACGAAGAACACTGCTGGCCGCCAAAACGGAAGCGGCGTAAATGACATACGCATCAATCAAATAATTCATAACACTCAAGAACACCAATACCATCCCACATCCAAAAGGAGCAGTGCCTATGATACTAACAATCCAATGTACACTTGGAGAATTTGTCCATGCGAACCAAAAGAGACCAACAGGCAAGCAGATACTTCCGATGAGGGCAGGTGGAAGTCGAGCTTCAGGTGGAGCAGCATTGTTATGCTTAGCAGCTGTAGCGTTATATCGTTTGTTGTCCCACAGTGAGTAAATAACCGCAATTATCATTCCGACTGCAACACCACAAAAAGCCAACCCACCAACACCAGCACTCCATCCGCGTTCAACTTGGTACACAATCGGGAATGCTCCGAACATCATGTATAAAGTTCCGTATATGATTGCCAAGTACAAACTTAACAAGAAAACGATAGGTTCTGTGAACAACAAAATCCAAGGTCTCGAGAGTGCCGTTTTGAATTCTGCTGATAGAGATTTAGAACCGTTGTCGACTTCCATCTTGGATTTGTAAACTTTCCCGGTCATGGAGGACATCTTTTTTGCTCGGCGGCGAAGGATGACTGGAGAATAAGTTTCGGGGATGGTGAGTGTGCCAATGATCCAGAGTGCTCCGGTGAAGATGGCCATGAGTCCTCTATCGATAGTGTTAGGGTCATAGTATAAATAGTGATTAAGCAATGCAACTTACTCGACCCATCTCCAACCTTCTGTTTCTCCCAAGAAGCCGCCTACAATTGGTCCAATAACAGGGCCAAGAAATGGTGCTGCAGCAAAGATACTCATAGCAACTCCTCGATGAGCAGCAGAGAACATGTCGGCAATAACCCCACCGGCATTGGTAAGAGGGGAACTACCAAAAGCTCCTGCGAGGAATCGCATGATCAAGAGCGTCTGTATATTTTGTGCTCCAGCAGCCCCAGCATTGAAGATAGTAAGCATAGCATAAGTACCAAAGAAAAGTACTTGTCGACCATATAATTCCGAGAAGGGAGCCCACATAAGCGGACCGATCGCAAAACCCAAGACGAACAGCGAGACTCCTAAAGTGACGACTTCCGTACTGACATCGAATCCCTCAATGATCTGTTCAACCCCACCTGTATATGCCGAGGACACAAAAGATACTGCTAACGTTGCCTTCACCAATAGTTAGTATGTGTGTGAGAGAAGTATGTATGTCTCACCCCCATCCGTCACACAGCTCAAACTTCGGGGAATAATAACCGAAACCTTAATGCAAAAAGGGGGAGAGCTTACAAAGGCAAGAAGTAAAGTAATAGTCCATTTCTTCGACATGGTAAAATTCAATGGATTTCTGCGATCGTCTGGAATATATTCCACCACATAAGGATCCTGTTCTGTCCCAGATCCTCTATAAGGGTAATTGAGTACTTCGGGCGTGACATGTATCTGATCGAAAACCAACTCCCAATGTCTAGCCTTCTTTTGGACATTTTTCTGTTCTTCCAAATCTCTATCCATATTCATTGCAGTTGAAGAACCAGAATCTGAAGTTCGAACCATGATGTCGTTACGGATTTGTTCGAGTTTGGGGTAGGTAGCTAGGAAGGTGTGGTTAAATGCAACCCTGCCAAAGTAGTATTCGAACACCGAAATGCGAGATTGAATATGCTCAAAGATACTCTAAACATCTTGCCGCGCACGACATACATTATATACTATCTGCAATATAACATCATTTGAAATCCAATTAAAACAGCACCTTTCTGTTGACTCACTAAGACCGCTGATTGAACATCCGACGAGTAGATACCTAAGCACTTATGCGAGTTATGCTGATCAATTCACATTATGCAATGCATCCATTGAAAATGTACACATCCGGGGGAAATTGTTCCCGGTATGTCATGAAGTCTGATCAAGTACGCACCCTTTAGTGGATCGAGAACAGCCTAGGTTGGGGTTATGCAAATGTGAAAAAAGTAAAGTTGAATTTTGTGAATGGATCATGGATGGAAGTCTCCAAATGGGGTAAACATCCGTGCTTTGGCTTCCTTTCATCCCGCTGAGTAGGCTGACAGAAAGATCTTTCGACCTTCCTCAAGCTAACTCCGTGCGCCGATGTATGGTGTATCATGATATATTCTAGTCTAGCAGGTGCCGACATAGCCGAACGAACCTTGGCAATAACGGACGTAATAATTATCGCCATGCTTATGTCTAAAATGTGCCAAACATCTTGAAGAAACCGGGCTTTTGGATCCCATTCCGTGTCCGTACCGGAGGAAGAGTTGTTATTCAAGATTAGATCCTAAGCGCTTGTCATACGACTGAACCCAATGTGAAACGGCAAAACCCCATCTTCATTTATATCATCTGATTAATCTTGGTGACGATGGGTATTCCACAACATCATTCTATCTCTATATACAACACCTCCGCTAATAGGTTTTACATTATCGTTTTGTTTTCTGCCGTTTCTTGTCCTTTACACTCATGTTGACACGTTTCTTAATCGCATCATGGGCATGTTTGTTGACCTTGGTCTTTTCCTTCTTCTTCTCAACAACTGCATGCACCTCCTTTTTCTCTTCGACTATCGGTGCAACCTCTTCCTCAAAGCCACCCCATTCATCATCGTCTTCCGGTGATAAATCTTGAGCTTCCTCAGGTGCCATTTGGGCATCAACGTTCAATTCCTCTGCATCTTCCTGATATTTTCTGACTGGGAACCCCATTAAATCGCGTACGAGATGCCCGCGTTCATCTCTCAGGAGACCAGCTTCAGGATCAACGGATGATGTTTGATCTCTCACAAATCCCGCCAGGAAGAATCCCATAGTAGCATGCTCATCTCCTTTGTTAGCCCGAATACATCCTTCTGCAACCACTTCATCACCATCGCATGCTTCTATAGAGCCTCGGACAGGCCATTCTCTCATACCCCGGATTTGATTATCACGACGAAGAATTTTCCACCCCTTTTCTTTTGCGATATCAGAAGCTAAAGCCGTTTGAACGACAGATTCGTTTTCTTCAGCATGAATTGAACAAGTGGAGTAGGTGATCTTTCGAGCAGCAGGGTACTTGAATGCATGAAGAAGAAGTTCCAACTGAAACTCAGCAAGAGCAGTTAATCTAGCTTTTAGTTCGGCATCGCTATCGACAGCAGTAACGACTCCATCGTCATCAACCATTACTTCTAACGCATCACCATCCTCCTCGCGCTTTCGTTTCTTGTTTGTCTCCTTCTTACTTGTTTCCACTGGCTCCGGTGCCTTCTTCGGCTTCTTTTTGTTTCTAGAAGGTTTGGCAACGATTTCCTTGATACCTGGTAGATGTAATTCGGGCATATCATCCCGACCAACAATTCCACTTCCCGAGCAACTCGGATCCAGCAATAAAGCACCAACATTCTTGTATGTACCAGAATTTGGGTCAGTCTTCAAGAAGTCATATCCAGCATGAAGTGTAGTAAACGTATTCGACCCTGCCAAGTTGACCATCTTTTCCAGAGTTTCAGCTCTCCCTTTATTCTTCTCAAATGCGTGAATAACTTGAGTAGATTCATCCGGTTCAGGAAGTCGATCAACTAAAATAGCCGCAATGTGAGTGGTCTTGTTGCCGGGTGCTGAGCAAGAGTCGATAATATCACCATCTTCAGCCAGAGGATCAAGAAGATACGCTGGGAAACATGATGCTTTGTCCTGAAAGATAATTTCTCCAGATTTGTATGCTGCACTCTTTGAGAGATCAATGTTTGGAGATATAGCAATAAGGTTTGGAATATGAACATCGATATATAAGCGTTTAGACCCCCGATGTCTAACAGCATCAATTGTCGCTGCACGTTCAAATCCAGTAAAAGTAGATTCGAGTTGATCTTCAAGAGTAGTCTTTAAAGTGTTGATACGTATCCAACGAGGGTAAGGTGCTTCAGATGTATCAGTTGCATTCTCCTGACCTGTCTCAACATGGGCTTTTAAGGCTTCCATGGTGCTCATTTTTCTCCGAAGTCTCGCCTTGGTCAACTCGGCTTGTAACCTCCCCTTATGCCGCTCAATTGAGGCTCGTAAACCATGAGTAGCTGGGAGAGCAATTCCTCTCTTTGCCAAGAGTAAGTCATGGACGAGAAGAAGAGACAAAGTTGGAGTTAGCTATAATTGATATTAGCTACTATTTCAGAGTTTCAATCAATCGCAATACTGACCTTTCGCTCTAAACGTAGTAAGTCCGCATTTTCGATCACATCCTTCAAAACTGGACTCCATTTACACGTCTCTATCGCCAGAGCATAGATTTGAGCTGGTTGTGATTTTAAATCTTTCTTGCTGAAAATTCTTGATCTTAAACTACCACCTTGATTAGTAGGAGCAGCTAGAACCTCAGCTGCCTCATAATAGAGGGACATTGTATCTGTAATTATTGAGGTGTCGAGCTCAAAGATTCTTGAAGGAAAATATCAAAGTACAAATTTCTCGCTACTGTAATTGGTCACAAGAGGTACTTGATGAATGTCAGAGATTGTCACATCAACAAAAGATCGCAATCATTGATGAAGTCGACTATATAATTACAGTAGGAGAAGGATTTGAGAACCTTCTTCGATATGAAAAAAATAATAAAATCAACAGAGACAAACAGGGGATGTTTGTTTTGAGAGAATCTCAAATGGTAAGCACGTGCCATCGCTATCTTATCGGATGGCGCTAGTGAAAAAAGTCGGACATTCCTCCAAAATTTCTGAAGTCCATACTTATCCATCGACAATCCAGCACAACGACAAGCTGGTTTAGAAAGAAACACCGCCAACATGAGGTAAGAAACTCTCCCGTCCCTCTATTACATCAAGTCTCTTGCCGCAATTCTTCGACTTTCGAGATCTCAATCGCATTTGCAATCTTCTTGACGATAAAAATATCTATCGCAATCTTGACCTTTGCTAATTCATCAATAGAATCGAAACCTGTTATTTTTGCTCGCAGCCCTGCTACCCAAGTAAGGGCATAACATTCGTTCGTAACGATGCGCGAACCTTTAGATTCTGCCGCAGTAAATGCCACAAGAACGTACGTTCAAACCATATCCATCTCCCTTCAATCCAGAACGCCACAGACCCCCCATCTCACCATTGCACCTTTCTCTCCGATGCTCAATTCTCAAGCCCTGACTAACATTCTCCCTCTTCTAGTTCAAAATGAAGCGTAACCCCCGCAAACTCAAATGGACCAAAGCATTCCGCAAAGCCGCAGGCAAAGAAATGGTCGTCGACAGCACCCTCAACTTCTCCGCTCGCCGCAACGTTCCCGTCCGTTACAACCGTGAACACATCGCCACTACCCTCAAAGCCATGCAACGTGTATCCGAAATCCGGGCCCGTCGCGAACGTGTCTTCTACAAGAAGCGCATGGAAGGCAATGTGGCCAGACAAAGAGAAGCCAACCGAAAATTGGTTGCAGAGAACGAGCACTTGCTACCCAAGATGCGCGGCAGCGAGAAGAAGAGACTCGAGGAGTTGGGAGAAGAGGTCAACGAGTTGGATTTGGAGAGAGAGCAAAGAAGTGTGTTTGGAAAGCAGAAGATCAGGCTCAAGGAGTTGGTTGATGGTGGTGTGGAGGAGGCTGATGATATGGAGATGGATGATTAAGGGGATTGTGAAAACACCCGATTTTGAGATTGATGTCACATATGGCTTGCGGCTGGCCATCAGAAGCTGGTTTGGAAACAACGAGATTATTCCATTTGACCTCCCTCGAATCGCCAATACCGGGATCAGCAATGTCACCAGGACTTACCAAAAAGCACGTCATGAAAAGTCAATCTTTGTTAGGAAGGATGGAGTTTATGGATTTGTAAAAAGGGCGTTTTGGTATCACAATAATTATATTAGCCTATCTTAGGAGAATTTCGCAACACGAGAATTGCAAAGAAGCCAAGATTCAAAATTTCCCTTCCATAGAGTCCAGTATCGAAATGAGTGGGGGAGAGAGGCATACATATGATTGTAAATAAAGTCTTTCAATACATCATTCTCGGTAGCATACCTCTATATAGCAGATTTCCTCCTATTCCAAGATTCATTAAATACCTACCTACCACCCCGTCCCTCTCACAAACTCTCGAGATCAATGCTCAATACTCCAATTTCATATATCATATATCGTATTCCGTATTTGTAATTTCACATCTGTAATCTATAATCTACACACATATACATACCCTATATATACCTAGTACATACATACATACCCTTAAAATCCCCCATTTGATTTCACCTGAATATATAGTATATAGATATACAAATATACAGACATATAGAAACTATCCCATCCTAGATATGTAATCTCATCTCACATAACCATCTCACACATTCCATTCCAACCATTCTCTATAATCCCATGGAAACTATCTCATCTCATCTCGTCTTATCTCATCTCATCTCATCTCATCTCATTAATATTCTACTCATCTCTATCTATATCCGCCCTACCTAACCACTCACCCAGTATATCCAAATATTTCCTTCCCTCTTCACCTCTCCCTTCTTTTCTCTTCGCCCCTCTTCTCTCCCTAGATTCTATAGAATTCCTTTTTACTCGCGCCCGTGTAATCCCATCTCATATCCTATACTCCCCCGTTCCCAAAAGCCCTCTCCAATCCTTCTAAACAGGTATTCCTACCTCTATACATCCGCGCCTTTAATTTCTGCATCTCTCCATCTCTCCATCTCTCCATTTTACCCCTTCCTTAGTAGTGAATAGATACTTTGTTTACACAATCAATAATTTAATCCAAAATACACAAAACAAATACACATGAAAGACATCACTCACACCATATCATATTCACATCACTCCCTTCCCCACCCCCACATTCTTCTTCAAATTCTTACAAGAGTTCCAAGCAAGTTTGATATTAAAGCCTAAACAACAGCCTCAATCCTATACACCTTCCTATATACATACAATCCCAAAAATCAAACAAAGCCAGGCGAGCGGCACCAGTAATCCATTGTCCTCCTCCCCATGAGCACCTACCCACTCATCATAAACATTGAATCATAACCGTCCAGATCTAAAGTATACCACCCACCCACCCATCCATCCATCATAAAAACCAAATATCAAATGCAAGTCCCCCTATTCCCCATTTCCATTCTCTTCCATCCCGTTTTAATTAAACACCGATCCCAATCCCACCCATAAATGTACATAACAAAAATCATAACCCATACTCCCAACTTTAACATATAAGACTCGTGGGGAAAATTCAACATAATCAAATAACCTTCCAATCCGATAACCTCCTTTGTAAAACGCCACATTATGAATCGATGTAAACATAAATTAATAGGTGAAGGTGAGTTGGTGGAGTGGCCAGGACGTATAATCGTCGATGTAGTAGTAATATGCTTATGAAGCAAGTAGGTATGGTGGCCTTTCACACTGTGCAGAGGTAAAAAGAAAACAAATTCAACAATTGCAAACACAATTTGTATCGCCGAGGTAACTCAAATGCGAGCCGCAAGGGAGCCCGAGACAGGTGTCGCAGCAAGTTTTGCAACACTCTCAAGGTGGAATTGAGAAATACTTTGGAAACCTCTGATGAAATTGTCAATAGATATTTCGCAATAGGAATATGGAGAGAGGCCTACTTTGTAAGATCAAACCCTTTTTCTTCCTCTTCTTCAACCTCATCGACATCTGGCATCTGAAGCTTTCCTAAAACTGCATTTTTGATAGGACTCGGAGCTGGAGTCCGTCGCATTGGAGGTGGACTGCTATCGGGAATGACGCTAGGTTGAAACCTTTTGATAGGGCTATTATCATAACCACGAAATCCATGATTAGGAGTACCGTCAGCGAATGTCCAAAATGGAGCAGGGGAGCTAGTTGGCATGTGTTGACTTGGTCGCTGCGCAGTACTTGGCGGTGCTAAATGAGGATAAACACGATGAGGAGCTGGCGTGACAAATGTGTTGCCATCATCCTGTTGATAAGAAGATGAGAGGGTGGGTGGAGAATTGGGCAAATTATCGGAAAAGCCAGGGGCGTTCTTCTGAACTCGTCGATAATGTCTAGGTAGTGGGCTTCCATCGCCGGGGAAATCATGCTGTAAGTTTTGAATCCGGGGGGCCCGTTCGGGAGTAAATTGCGGTCTGTTAGTTTGGTGTGGTCTCATGCGTGGTGAGCGTGAAGCTGAAGATTTCCTCTTTCTAACGACGGAATCCGGACTGGATTCATCATCAAACCCTCGATCGGCAGCGGTGATTGGTGACGCTGGCTGTGAAGATCCTCGGTGGCCGCCACCTCTACCAGGAGCTGATTGTGCCAGTGCTGCGATTGTATCATAGCACGCTGGCTTGATAAACCACTTTTTACCTTTGCCAGGCTCATCCTTTCCGCGTGCTACCTTGTCGTAATTTTGGTTAAGTGACAAGTTGTGGCGGATAGAATTCTTTCACCTCGTTAGTTTGGAGTCAATCAGAGGATGAAATAGATACTCGGTAACTTACTTGCCAGCCGCCGGGTGCTTGAAATCTGTAATAAGCGTATTTGGCCATGATGGCTTGGTAAATACCATTCAGTAACAACATTTGATTTGGCGCTTCGAAAATTACCTGCGCGATCATTTGCGCATAGCTGTAACCAGGCTTGATATGATGATTGGAATCAAGACTGAGGTCGACATTTTCAGAATCATTCATGATCATTGTACCGCCAGCCGAATAGCCAGTATGGGGTCGCTTTGCAGAACTTGGCACTTTAAGAGAAGCGCGAGGAGTCGCCGCACGTTGCCAATTAGCTGGCGCTGGAGCAATCGCTTGTGGAACTCCATTCTGAGCTCGAGCTCCGTTAGTCGAAGGAGGCAAAGGAACATCGGAAGGTTCCTCGCTATATCTCTGAGCATCCTCTACATCCTCTGCGTCCTCTACTTCATCAACTTCCTCTACATCGTCCACGGCACTCTCAATCTTTCGCAGGTATTCCGGATCAATCACAAAGGGACCACCAGGTAAAACGAATATCATCTCGACACCGGAGATATTGATGACATCTCCACTATGCAACTCTTTTGGCTCATGATTGCGGGAAAACGCCGTACCGTTGACTTTGGCTCCGTTGCGGCTGTTGACTTGGATTCGCCAGCCATCGTCGAAGAATATTCTGGCATGTTGTCGCGAAATCATCTTATTTGGACCCAGATCAATATCGACCTCAGCAACAGCTCCTGGGGCTTCTTCTTGACCCTCAGCCGGGTTGCGCCCAATCTGAACTTCCTGATCCTTGACGTAGTAAGTCCAACCATTTCCCGCCAACTTTGCGAAAGCTTGAACTCCGCCTCCGTACTCTTGTTCATATTTATCGTCCGCATGATCGTCGAGAACTTGTACGACACCAGGTAATCCCAAATGTTTCTTGAGCTTAAAGATGATCTCTTCCTGGCTTTCCATCTCGGGTACGGGGGTAACGGGTCGTTGGTTTGAGGTTGAATGTTTGGATTTAGGTTTGGGATCTGAAGCCTACATCTTTTGTTAGTGGGAATGGCATATGCGCCATCATGAAATGAACTCACCCTCTTTCTTCTCTTCGGAGGGCGAGAAGGTGAGGAGTCAGGAATGTCAATCTCCTCCCTCATCGAATCTCGACGGTAGGGTCTTTTAGCGGAGGTTGGCATTTTGGTAGGGATATTTTTTTGCGACAGCGTTGACCCGGTGATTATTGCGCATCAAATGTCGGTGGTATGAAACGGTATGGCTGGAGATCGTTGGGAACAACTAGAAAGAACAATGAGTATTGTGTCGTCGAGGAACGGTAGGTGTAGATGGAGGGGGAGGGGGAGAGGTGCAGTAGTAACCCTTGCGAATAAAGTGTCAAAGAGTTGGTACCTCTAATGAGGGGAGGGGAAGGTTGTAACGATGCGACAGATGATATAATGAAATAACGTACCACGGGCAAAAAGGACCACGGAATGATTGATTGATTTAACAGCAATCCGAGCAATTAGCAATCAGCAAATTGTTAAGCTTATTGAGATGTCGTGATGAGATTCTTGTATTGTATTGAATTGAATTGAATTGTATTGTATTGCATTGAATTGTATTGAATTGTATTTGTTTGAAAAGAAACAATTTTTTTTCTTTGCGGTTCTCCTTCCTTCAATAATCATGTAATGCAACGCAATACGATCAATCGCCTCTCTCCCTATCGTGTGGACCCGTCACGCGGAAGTCGCGTCCTTGTTTAAGGTACTTGCTTGCTGACGAGCCTGCCTTGCCTTGCCCTTTTTTTTGAAAAAAATTGGAGATTTGGATCTGAATTTGGAAATTGGTCGATATAATTGGTTATAATTTGGTGAATTTGTGACGAGTTTTCTCAGGTAGATGATTCAAAATATCGAAGAGAATTATATGTTTGAACAGGAGAATGCGATTTTATTGTGTGTGTGTGTGTATGTGTATATGTGTATATGTGTGTATGTGTGTGTGTGTATGTGTGTGTGTATATATGTGTGTGTGTATATATGTGTGTGTGTGTATATGTGTGTATGTGTACGTATATAAACAAGTAAGAGGAATGAGTATTTATATAAAGTGGTTGGATTTGATTGTTGAAAGAAGTTTTGGGGAGAATTTCTCTTTGGTCACCTTTTTTTACATTTTACATTTTACATTTTACATTTTACATTTTTGGAAAGTGACTGAATTGGACAATCCAGCTACGTGATTGGTTGAAAACGACTTTGAGTCCGTCCTTCTTCCCTTCTCCATAAAATTGACTATCGATAATGAAAGAAAGTGGCCAGGCGTGCTAGATATTGACTAAAGTAAGTTTTCTGCACTTGCCATCTGTCCAGACGATGATGATGACTTCATTGAGAACGATCATATGAAGTACAATGACAAGATTGAATATTGATGAACGCGTACTAAAATGTTATTCACGCATAGCTCGAGAGAACGGTCCACCTCGGCATTGACACTAACACTTTGATGGTTTGATGGTTTGATGGTTTGGTGGTTTGGTGGTTTGGTAATTTGATATTCTGATACTGATATCTCAAGACGGTGGGATCTTGACACTTTGATACTTTACATCTAGTACGAACCACTCAAACGCCGACTCATTTTTGATTTTTTGGATCTACTCAGGACGTGACTTGTATCCATTCCTCGTAGAATCATCCATCACATCCATCATTCTATTTACGCGTCAAGTTCGTGCTTGCCCTATATCATCCCCACTTCTCTGCATGAGAACGTACCCTCCAACTTTCGGAGCCAGACATTCGTCGGTCGATCGATCTCCCACCAGCCAATATGTGAAACCTCTTTTACTCGTATCAATGTTCACATATACGATGACCTCGCAGATGATCGATCACGTGTGAATCTCCTGAGACGATAACTACTCGAACACTCAACATCTCTTGAATGCTTACCGTGTTCTTCTCTCTCAACCGAATTAATTGCACGAAACACCAGATAAAATCTCCTCATTCTCCAACCTAGATAAAACACCATCAGCTATCTCTCCATCCATCTATCTCATCGTAGTTCGGACACACACATACGTTTTCACTTGTGAACCGCAGTACGATGCTAGCTCACAACACAAGTACTAACGAACTTTACCTCATCCATCATCGATCGACTCCAATCCCACAAGTTCTAGACCCCATCATCATCCACACGTGCCACAAGGAGGAAGAAATCTCATTCCACCCCCGCACAATTCTTGGATCCGATTCCGATTTAACCTTTTAAGCCTCAATCACGTTGGAGTCTATCACGTGCATCTGTCCATGTATCATGAATGATGTGGTTATGTCTATTGGTTATTATTGTGTATTGATATGTGGATGGATCTGGAGCATATTTACTCACACTATTTTGATAGATCGATAGACTTTTCGATTGCTCGATACTAATTACATTGACATATCGATCAACTTCTCGGTTCCACCCATTCCATCTCATCTCATCTCATCCCACCATTTTATACGATCCCATCATTCTATACAATCCCTTCATTCTATACAATCCCTTCATTCTATACAATCCCTTCAATTACAAAATAATCACGCTGATGCGATAGGTGCTTGTTGAGTGTGAGATGTGGAATTAGATGGACGTGTGTACCTCCTCTTTACTCACTTACTATCCAGCGAATCGAATCGAGTCGAATCGAATATACATCTCCTCACACAATACTCTTAGAGAAGAACCTGAAAACAATTACAGAATCATTAGAGAACTTCAAGTCATATCAGTTGAGTTCGTGTTATTTATTGGATCTGAGGTACTTGAGTTTGAGATGTGGACTTAGATGGATGTGTGTACCTCTTTTCTATCTATTTACTTATTTACTTACTCATTTACTTACCTACCTACCTACCTACATTCTAAAAGCAAATGAAAGATTTTGATAATTTTGATAATTTTGATAATTTTGATGAGTCGAGTGCGGTTTGGAGTATCCATGGAATAGATACATTGTCACGAATGTATTTCAAAAGGAAATGATAAAATAACTCAGGATAGAACAGGATCGAATAGAATAGAATAATAATATCTACAAATAAATTAAAGATTACCCCCTAAAATCCCTCTCATTCACCTCTCTCATCCATTCATTTTTTCCCATCCCCTTTCCATCCGCTTTCCAAAGTAAACCAACTCATTAAGGAACGTGATCCCCTCAAGATCCAATATCCAATATCCAATTCTTAGCACACTGTATCGTGTCATATCGTCGTATTTCTTCCATGCCTTCCATGCCTCTCATATCCACATCCACATCCATAATGCTCCTCCCTATTCTTTCATTCATATCATTGTGTTTATATGCATCCGCCCAGTGAAGAGAAGAGAAGAGAAGAGAAGAAGAAATGAAAAGAAGCATCCAACCAACCATCTTCCAAGAATGAAAGATCCCCCATCCTCACACACTCATCTACAAAAGCGCCAAAGCCCCCATCACAAACCCCATCACCAACCCCGGTGCATTCATCCCCGCATTATTCGCCTCCACCGGTGCAGTAGGCGCAATGGTAGTCACGCTGGTCGCCGCAATACTACTTGCGCTAACGCTAGGCTGAACAAAGTAGCTCGTTGTCTGCCCCCCAACGGTCAAAGTGCTGGGTTGAATGTAAGTTGATGTTTGTACGTGGGTTGTGTTTGCGTAGTAGGTTGTTCCGAGGGTGACGGTGCGGACGATGGAGGGAACGGTGACGACAGCAATGGTTTCGATGGTGTGGCCGATTGTGGTTGGGATCTGGGGGTGGAATTAGCGTATGTTTATTTGGGAAGAGTGTGAAGAGAGAGTGGAAAGGGATGAGAGGATGGAATGCTTACATAAACGGTCGTTTCGCCAGTTGCGGCAGGGAGGGTAGATGTTAGGGTGCGAACTGCGGTCACTTGGATGGTGTTTGTTTGGGTGGCGGTCAAAACGATGCTATGGGAATGTCAGACTCTGATGCTTTTTGTGGTAGAAAGAGACGAATCCGAACTTACGTTGATCCAGCACTGATGGTTGTATACACACTTTCAATGCATGTGGTAGTCTCGTAGACATCAGTAGTCTTATATTCAGTAGCTTGAGTTGTAGTGCTGCAACTTGTTAGTCTGTGCTCAATGTTTCGACTTTCGATGATGATTGACTCACTATTGAACAATAATTGTAGGAACCTGGACTTCAGTGACAATTGTACTGGTATATACTTTTGTGATCGGAACACCAGCTAGAAGTTGACTATCAGTATTTATTTCTCTCAACATTCAAGTCATTTGAAACATCGAATACATGTGAAATTTGGAAATGGGATTTCATACAAATTGTTTGGACTTCAGTGACTGGGCATAAGCTAGTAGACGTCTGATAGACGTATGTTTCGATTCTTCATACTCGGTTAGTCACAAATATCAAATGAATAGCAAGAGTCCAAAGACTTACGTCTTAGTTCCTCCCGGTAAAGTAGTTTTTGAGTAGTCCGTGGTATATACTTCAGTGACGATAAGGCTAGTTGTCGTCTTTGTAACAGTATATTCGATTCCAGAAATGGTTTCAACTTCAGTAACAGGGCAAAGACTAGTGATGGTTTGAAGTACTCCAGTTGCAACTCTATTTTGCTTATTAGTTTGTTGTCCTCGCCTCGTACATATATATTCAAGAGAAGGAATGCTCACGTGGTGGTTTTCGCTGGGAGAGTAGTTGCTACTTCAACGGTGGTTCCGACGTTTGTGACAATGAATGAAGTAGTTGTGTAGATGGCAGTTACCAGGCTTCCGGAGACTGTTTTTGTCTCGGTGACTGGACAGAGAGAAGTTATTGTAGAAAGTACTCCAGTGACAGCGCTAGGAACAAGTTAGCTTCCAAAGTGAAGAGAGTGAAGCGGGCTTGTTTACGTTTTTGTCTTGTCGGGAGCAGTGGCTGTAACTTCAACATATGTAGGAAGGATGGTTGTGTATAGTGATGTCGATGTATACGTTACAGTCTCCTCTTTTCCTGAAATAGTAGTTGTCTCGGTGATAGGGCATAGACTGGTAAGAGTTTGGACTACCCCGGTCTCAACCCTGTGAAAAATATTAGCCCAGGAATAAAAGCGCAGAAATTTGGGAAGGATCCATACGTCTTTGTATTATCAGGAGCAGTGGCTGTAACTTCAACATAGGTAGGAAGGATGGTTGTGTATAGTGATGTCGATGTATAAGTTACAGTCTCCTCTTTTCCTGAAATGGTCGTAGTTTCAGTGATAGGACATAGACTGGTAAGAGTTTGGACCACCCCGGTCTCAACACTATGAAAGCCATTAGTTCAAGAATAGGGCGTAGGGATTAGGAATAATCCATACGTCTTTGTATTGTCAGGAGCGGTGGCTGTAACTTCAATATATGTAGGAACGTTAGTTGTATACAATGATGTTGATGTATAAGTAACCGTCTCTTCTTTTCCTGAAATGGTAGTTGTTTCGGTAATAGGACAGAGACTCGTAAGAGTTACAACCACTCCGGTTTCAACACTACGGAGAATATTAGTCTAAGAACAGCTTAGAGATTTGAAAAGAATTCCATACGTCTGTGTTGTGTCAGGCGCAGTGACAGTGTTAACGATCGTGGTGGGTACAGCTTGACTCAGATATCAGCAATGATTCGTCAACATCTGGGTGAATCTTTAAAAGTCTTACCAGTTTCGACAACAGAAGTGGTGGTGTATGTCTTTGTGTAGGTATTTCCGGGAGCAGTGACGGTCTCCGTTACCGCGCAAGTGGTGGTATACGTGACGATGACCTAAAAATGAGTCAACCTCAATGCGCAGTAAACATTATGGAATGATCTTACATCGGTGGTGGTGGTTGCCCATCCAGTTGGGCCAGGCACAGTGACAACTCCTCCGCAGCCTCCAACACAACTAGTGACAACTACGGTTGATGTAGCGATACTTGTAACCCATTTCGTTGTTCCTTCTTCGGTAGTAGTTGAAGTGACCTGTCAGAAATGAATAAGCTTTTGCTTTTAAACCTGACAGCATGTGACCATTATGGTATGAGATCTTCATCACCATTTAAATCTTTCTCGGATGTATTGAAAAGCTTTCATCTAATTGAAAAGACGAATTTTCTTTCAGATGTGAGAAAGTTCTTTAACATTGGCACCCCTCACCCTTTGCCAAGATGGTATTCATCTGAAAGATACGAAGAAGAGATGACTTCATCCAATATACAAATGGGATCACAGAACAAGAGTATCCACGATCATCCCACCATCCCCACTCCATCCTAATGATACAACACGCCAACAAGATGAATCTTACTTACAGGACAGATAGTGGTTGAAGTATAAGTGGTCCAAGTAGTAGTATCAGTCTCGACAGGATACCCAGGAGGGCTCGAATAACCAGGAGGACTTGAATACCATCTTTCCTGAATCCCTTGAGCGAGAGTCGAAGTGGCCAAAGCCAACAAAGCGAAAGCTGCCTTCATGATTGCAATATGTAGCGATATGTTTTGAGCTTGTACGGCGTCAAACTTGTATAACGATAGCACACTCTGTACTTTGCACCACAGAGAATGGGTATAACGACCGACTTAAGTACTTGAAAGAGTGAGAAGTCTGAAAGCAAACCTTTCTGATGAGGAGGTTGGAGGAATATAATGTTTGGTAGAAGGTTGGGACAATCAGAAAATGAAAACAAACACAAACACATGCGGGAACAAGGGCACTATTATCTATGGAATGGCAAAGAAATCTTGATCCTACCTTGAAAGATATCTAGTCAATCTTTGTGCATCTTATAAGGCCGCATATGATTTCATGCTGGCGATGCAAATTCGGGCGAGTATCTGTATTTTTTCTGGTCTACTAAGACATAAAAAGGTCTCCTCTAACTGGTCAACCAGTATGCTACGTAGCTTTGGGATACGAGTATAGTGCTGACCAACAACAGTTTCCTCAATTCTGAGCCAAGCTTTGAAATAAGAGCTCTAAGAATAGTAATACGAAAAACTCGTGTATATAAACATATGTTAATTTACTTGATTGTTAACCATTTCGGAGGCTGCAGTCGTGGGGAAAGGGCTGGCATAAACATGGGTTCCTAGTCGCTTAATGCTGTGGAAGCAATATTATGATGCATGAAGGAGAAAGGAACACGAGCTTTTGCATGATAAACAGTATTCTTACATGGTGCCACCTCATGAATCACATTCCCGGGGGAAAGCGAGGCCTGGTGACAAAATTTGTTCTCTGTTGTCCGTTCTCGAGGCCTCTAGAAATATTAAAAAAAACGTGGTGTGTCATTTTCTTGGGTAGCTTTGGTACCGATAAACCAGGTAACACAATAATTTTGGTACCTTTATCTAGATATTGGTGAGTGATTTTCCCCTGCATAGGAAGTATCTTGACTTCCGTTTCTTCCGGCTAAATGACTTCCTACGCAGGGTGCCGAGCATGTCTTTTTGTTACTAGGGCAAATCTCGAGATGCATATGAAAGACTTCTTGCTTCTTCGTATTTGACTGTAAGATGCATTAGAATCTACTAGCGAACGCGGGGAAGGTTGTCTACTAGAATTCTGTTATTGGATTGGCTGAAAATCTGTGTCATGCATAACAGAGGCGGGGTGAGGTCCAAGGTGAAAAAAAATCAGGATATGTTGGAATATGAATCAATTGATGTGCTTCAAATGAGATACAATTTTTTTGCGTGGGAGATGCATCGATGATCCAATTAAGAATTCCTCGAAAAACAGACAATGAAAGCAGAGATGTGGCGAAAGGGTAACGTTGTGCGATGATGGACTTCCGTTGGTAGCCTTTTCTCGGTATCTTTTCTCGCTTGCGCTTCACTGTTGACCTGTCACCCAGTCGTTGCTAGGTATGAGTTGGGCTGTGAATAGGCCTCAATACCGTGACCGAACACGCCACCCAACAGCTCTGAGTCGTTAAATTTTCTTTCCGACATAAGCTGACAAAGTTCGCATGAGAAATCACCGAGTCGTACAGACTCACCGAATGTCGGGACATAGTTCAGGTAATCTGGTGTGGTAAAATTTAGGTGGCTTAGGGTGGTATTGAGTCAAGCTATCTTTACCTTATTCGTATTTACTTACATCTCAACTAATCATCATCTTCGTCGGTGTCACTATCCCAGCCTTCTTCATATGATTCCGCGATCTCGCCAAGAGAATTGCTGAGCGCCTCTCGTTCATCCATGCCAATGGCTCTATTTACTATTTGCTGAAGGCTTTTAATCCGCAGGGCCACAGACGTATCAGTCGAAAGAGATGTGCTGATTGAGAGATTCCTGATATTCTCATCTTCATGGTTGAAGATACCAGGGAAACTATCGAGAAGTGGAAAAGATAATGGTGTATATGTCCTATAAGAATACAGTAAGAAAATTGAAGATATAATCAAGGGGAATACTAACTTTGAAAGCAATGGAAGACTGGCAGCAATTCTAAGAGCTCGTTCACGACCCTCATCGTTTCTGTCGTTTCCCTCATCGTATTCCTCATTTCCTCTATAATTCTCAACTTGGCCAAATACATGAACCTTGCCGGACTTCCGAGGACCGCGAAATTGCTCTCCTGTTTCTGTAGGAAAGAAGTCCATATCAAAATTGGCAGTATCATTTTCCGCAGGCATATCCTCACCACGACTTAAAGTTGTTGCTGAAGTAATCCTCGTATCTGTGGCCTGCGAATGTCCGTTCGTTCCTGTATGAATGGTATCATTAATTCCTGTCTTAGAATTTTGTCTAACAGACATGCGTAATTTCGCAATATTCTGATTGCCATTGACATTCAATGTGCTTGCCAATTGGTCCAAAGTCTGCCTTGTACCATTTTGAGGCTTTAATCTCGAAGGCAGTGTCATGCTTTCCATCGCGGAAGACAACAAGCCAGAAACTTCCCATGGAGAACTCGCGTCCAATTTGAGGTAGCCTGGCAAACGTGTCGATGGTAGGGTAATTGGAATGAAAAGGGACGTTTGTGGAATGATTTCCGATATTGACTTCGCCGTGTTTGACAACTTCAAGAAACGTTTTTCCTGTCAAAATCAGTACTGATATGAACTCCACCTCAGCCCATCACAACTTACTCTGGGTATTCCCTTAATGTTATCCTCCAAACCCCAGAACCATACCGTGGTCTTACCATATTCATCTCTCAAGCGATCCATATATCGAGCAGCAAAACCACCCCAAGCATCGTCAATGCCTCCCATTATCTGTATGCCTTGCATATGATCAGCTTCCTCGGCAAAAGGTCGAAGATCACGATCCAACAAATCATGCTCTTTATCTAAGGAACTGAATAATTCTTCACCAGCATCCCAATTTTCGAATGGCATCAAGGATGAATTCAATTCATACTCATTGAGTTGAACTATTGACCTCGGATGATAATAAACACGATTGAAGTCTGACCAATATCGCACCGATTCTGAGGTGAGCTTTGACGGTTCGAGGCCTTCTTCCAAACTTTGTTGATATGGACTCTGTTGGATGGCCGTTTGCCGTTGAACTACAGCTGGACCATTCCTGAAATGAAGTTAGAATCAGCAAAATTCTCGACTTCCTATCGATACATTTAGACTTCTTACCATAATCCATCAGTAATAACCGGTTCATCTATTTGATACAAAGCATTAATCTTTCTCAAAGAACCAAATCCTCCTTTCAAATCATAAATCAAAGTTCTTGGAGTAAAGGTTTCAGTGCCATCGGCTCCAATGCCAGGTCTAAAATGAACATCGTGATCAATAGGAGATTCTTGATCTGCCGAATATGTAAAGTATGATTCCTGTTCGCCAGTCAAAAAACGTTGATAATTCTAGAAAAAAGATGTAGTATTACCTGAGTATTCCAGAAATGGGTAGCAAGATAATTGCTCTTTTGTCCCAACTGAAGGGTAATGACTTCATGCATATTCTACTTCTTCCAGAATTTTCCCCGAAAAAGTATCCAGCGCTCTGAGTATTGACAACTGTCAAAGTTGTCACAGCCTCTTGTGGCGATGGAAATGGTATGCTTTGAGTATCGCTCAGCACTCGCATGAAAGATAACGTTTAATGCATAATCAGCTTACCTAGTGTATATGAATTTCAAACTTCGGGACTCTCAGATAAACATACAATAAAGGTATCTACCTAGATATCTGGTGATGTTCAAAAAGAAGGGGGAATTTGGAAAATCTTCCCAAGATCAAATTGTTTGATACTGATACATTACTAACCTTACAAGGCAATGCGACAGGGGTCCCGATAAGATAACAGACCCATGCATAAGAAAGCTACCCCACGTTACGAAGCTTTTCCCCTCTATGAAATCATCAATATGATCCTGTCGCTTCCCTTTCTCCGACGGTTCGAGAACATCAATATCAACAGTTACATCAACAGTCACATCAACAGCCACATATACATACTAATATTAAAATGACTTTCCAACAAGAACTCAATTCATGGTTTTCTCCATCTCCAATTGAAGTCCAATCACCTCCAGAAATCAATTCCAAAGCACCTTCATCATCTAAACTTCCATTCCCAGATCCCAATGGAAAGCCTACTATCATCACATTTCTCAGACATTGCGGCTGCCCAGTAGGTTTCTAATTTCCCTTTTCACATATGTACTACTTCTAGCATCTTACTCTGCATATCTCTCACAAACTAATTGCCTCATTCTAAAATCAATTCCACAATTCAAACCATAGCTAACCCCCTCCCCTCTCCAGTTCGCAGAAAAGACTTTCCTTACCCTCCGCAATCTCGCTGCCTCCCACCCAAATATCAATATAATAGCTATCTCCCATTCCACCTCATCTTCGACTGAGACCTGGCTTGACTCGCTCGGCGGCGCCGGTCCCATCCAAGTAATCGTTGATTCTGATCGCAAAATCTATGCACAATGGGGATTAGGCACTAGTTCCGCCTGGCACGTACTGAATCCCTGGAGTATGTTCTCTGTCTTTAAGCTTGGGCGCGAAGAAAAAATATGGAATAGACCTACGGAGAGTGGAAATCGATGGCAGACGAGTGGAAGTTGGGTTGTGGATAAGGAGGGGATTGTGAAGGGGGGGGAGTGGCAAAGAGTGCGGATGATATTATGAATTTTGAGGAGGCTATTAAGTTGGTTGAGTAATGGGGAGAAGATGTTCTAATAATATCATGGTTGACGAAATAAGATACAATGACGATAGTTACTTGGATTTGGTAATTGGTAATGCTTGTAAAATATGTTTGGCAAAACTAGAAGCTCGGAATAGAACTTAGATTGTAGAAGTTCACATTGGTTATGCCCAACCACAGTTTGATATGAAGTCCATCATAGTTGAAATTTATATCAATCTACACAAACCCCCTTATTCATCCGAAATTCCCATCTACACACCCCTCACATTTTGAAATTTCAAACTTATTTAGCATTCTGTACAGCAGCCGAATCCTAACACATATTCATTAGCCATCAATCCCCTTCTCTCCTCACTCCCTCACTCTACATCAACGACTACTAAAAATGTACTCACCAAATAAACTTGATAAAATCCCAATTTCCACTTTCCGCCCTCCTGAACCATCTTGGCCCGTCCGGCCCACTCAACCTATTCCACATATGAGTATATGTCCAAATGGTATCATTCATAGCTAGAAGATAATAAACATGACACTTACATCGGCCTTTCTTCCATCTTTCAATCCATACTAAATCATTAAAGCATTAGCATCGCAACTCAAAAGTTTCCCTCCCTTATCTTCTGCATTTTGCCCTCACCCCCACCCACTCGCTCCCTTCACTCCAATCCAAACTCCCTGGACTTTTAAACACCAAGTAGATAGGAAGAACTCACAGCCACAACTCCAAACAACATAACCTCCGTGGACCCCTTTCCAAAAGGAAAGATTTTGTGGGCTGTATGCAAACGACTTGCTACCTTTTCCCACATGCCCTTTCTGAAAGCGAGAATTTCTAAAGCTTTACATTAGCGTTTTTCTTTCTTCGTCAAACCTTGAATTCCTATTCTCTTCCCCCTTTTCTACTCGCTCAACCAAATTTCATCCAAGAAAGCACTTTTTGCCCAATCCTCCAATCCTCGTGAGCCCTCCAGACTCCTCCCCCATCATCTTTCCTCCATCCATATCAAAGAATGCAAAACAAAAACGAAAGTTAAGACTCACCCTGCCTCCCCTTAACTCTTTTAACCCCCATGACTACCTCCGCATCTTCAGCAAATTGATTTGCATACCTATCGACGCATCCACATATTAGCTTCATCCTTGTGGCCCATCACTCCATCAACTTCAAACCCGACCATCTGCATCTCTAGAATTCTCCATCACTCAAATTCTTGCCTTCCCTCCAGTCCCCCAATTCTAGGATATCAAACTCATTATTCTCGACCCTCAAACTTCCATTCATATCCCCCCCACATTATGATCCTTCCAAACCTTCAAGCCTCCGAAACCCGAAGTTTCCGATCCCTCTTTCACTCCATCCTCCTACCCACTCCCTTCTCAAGAAATATAAGAAACATTCATTCGCTCCTCGCTCCTCGCTCCTCGCCCCTCCCATCCCTAACCCGACTCCTCTCCGCAATCCTCCAAAACAAAGTCCAAAACAAAAGGCTCGACTCACTCCTCATGTTTTTCCTCCGTATCACTCAACTTGTAAAACGCCTCAAAGAACTCTCTAATTCCCTCATCCACTTCAACCCCCTGTGGATATTCCGATTTGTATGAATGTTGCGGCATCTTTACTAACTTCTGATGATGAGTTAATGATGAATCAAAGAGATGCCTCGAAAACAATGTATAGTGTATGATGAGAAAGTCAATGCCAAATATATCTTTTGTAGATGTTGTCAGGGTGGGGTGCTTCGGGGAGCTATGCTTAAAATGTGGGGTGCTTTACGGGCCCGAGTAGATCTCAAATCATCATAAACATTCGTCGTCACACACCTGCGAGCTCATTGTAGTCACTCTAAACATTGATAGACATAATTTAGATGGTTTATAATGTACTGATTCATAGATATACTACACTCCATTTAATGAGAAGGCTATTCCATTCATCAGAAGAAGAAAAAAAGGGGGAAAAAACTATTGCACTATCGTAACATTCTCCAAATTTTGATCAAAGCAAGCAACCGACCAATGTGCTGAATGAATTTCGTACTCCATCCATACCAGCGCCACTTTATCCCTATGATATAATGTATTGAAGCGTCATTCAACCCATGATATAGCAAGCAATCATCCCAAAAAACTCCACCCAATCAACACAACCTCATGATACCCAAAAATCAATTACTCATCATCATCATCTGTTTTGAGAACGGGATACAAGCTCTCAGTTGGCTTATCTTCAGTCTTTGTTGGGATATCTTTCATATCAACATCGGCTGCAGAAGCATCTTCTTCATCTTTGACATACTCTCCATTTTGAAGACGGTCACTAACATATCTTCTCAAAGCTTCAATGACACGAATGTTCTCGATCCATGCCTCTTCAGCTCTATCGCGAGCACTTTCGAGAGTATCAACTGATCTGACTGTAGGTGAAGTTACAGAAAGAGCTGGATCAATGTTACTTGTGACATCAGTTTGAACGATAGACTCAGGGCGAGGAGTTGTTTCTTTTGGAGATGGTGATGGAGAGCTAATAGTAGCGGTCTCCATAGACTCGCGATACTGACTAGAGTTGAGTCCACCAGCACTTCTTTGAAGTATACCACCAGAGTAACGACGACGAGGATCACTATCAAAGTTTGTGCCAAGTGTAGATGTTGGTGCAGTTGTTGAGTGATGTGGAGAGTATCCGAGAGATACTGCAGGGAGATTGGGGTATGCTGCAGTTGACGTAGAACTGTGCCTAGAGATGGGAGATAGTCCACTTGAGGACATTGGTGAATTGCCAGAAGTATATGAAACAGAACTTGAGGAAGGTGTTAAAGCTGGTGTACCAGATGAATGAGATGAGTGAGTGGCAGTCATTGGTGCTGAAGCGTAAGAAGTCGAAACATGTGGTGCCATTGAACCAATGTTGTGAATTTGAGTTTGTGGTGGCGAGTGACTTTGACGGAAGTTGATAGACTGGTGAGTGTAATGAGCACCGGGTTGATGAATGCCTGCTGCTGCTGCTGCATTTGAACTTTCGTAGACTGTTGATTGCATCTGCTCCAAGAATTGATCAATGGAATTCAAATCACTCTTGGTCCTCAAGTTTGGTAGAGGTAGGGAATATTGGTGTTGTGGAATGGGACCTCCATGACCACCATGACCTCCGTGACCTCCATGGCCATCAATTGGAACTAATTGAGGTGCTGAATGAATGTAATCATGGATAGCTCCACCTCCACTGATGGGAATACCTTGTAATGCCATCAACCTTTGATTAACTTGTTGATAAGAATTGGCATCAATTTGACGACGCTTAGCAGCACCAAAAAAGTCATTCAAGTTATCGTAATTTCGCTTCTTCTCATCCCAAGCTGCATGTTGACCAAGGTCGGGGTTGTGAGACATCTGGTAATAGCCTGGGCCTCCTCCATAAGAAGATGGTGGAGGATGAGCGGGTGCATAATATCCACTGTGACCTCCATGATGCGAATTGCCATACATCCCGGAACCAGGATGCATTGAAGCATTATGATCATAATAACCCATGGGGTTTGCTGCAAGATGCTGCAAATTAGCAATTACTACATAAGAAAGGTTAGAGACATTTGTATGAACGAAAGGCAACTTGCGCCCTTACGTACCTTTACCACCTGGTTGTCTATATCCTCCGTTTGGGCCACCAGGTTGTTCGGGAGATCTCAAGAGAACGGAATCATCGGCATGTGTCTGATAGTATACATTAGCACAGCCGAAGGAATACACGCCAGCTCTCCGTCTTACCTTGACATGTTTCTTCAAATCCTGAGGACGCTTGAATGCTTTTCCACAGAATTCACATTTGTGAGGCTTGAGTGGAACATGCACACGAATATGAGATGTAATATGATCGCGTTTGACGGTAGTAGTACGGCATGAATTCCAGCCGCAAGTGAGGTTTAAGTTATTGGTACTTTTTCTACCAACATGCTTCTCGCAGATATGTTCCTAAGATAGAGTATAAGTATGAAGACTTTGGAAGGGTGTAACGTATGATGGTGTAAAACTACGGAAACAAAATCAAACATACAAATAAAGATTCTGGAGTAGGGCATCTTTCAGAACATTTCTCCCATTGACAGAGTAAACTATCATCAGATACAACATTTTGTTGAATGGATGGAGTTACTGTGGAAGTAGCTTCTGCATTGGAACTCGAGGCTGTCGAAGTCTGAGGTTGTGCAGTTTGTTGTTGCTGCTGCTGCTGCTGCTGGTCTTGACTTGACATTGTGAAGTTAGGAATAGATCAAACAGATTAACCAATGAAGGATAGTCGGTTAATTGAACCTGTCACAGACTAAACTGTGTATGGAAAATAGATTAATCCAAAAAGTTATGGGTCTTGGCTGTATCGATATCAGATAGCAACTTAATCGATCAAATCCAACGTTGAGATAAATTATTGATGGTAAACTGGAATCAAAGAAAGAAGGGAACTCTTGTTCTTTCGAATTGTGTTTCTCTCAAGAGTTCTCCAAGCAGAGGGAGGATCTTGGTTCCTTCTTGTAAGAATAACGGAATCTCTGGGCGGGACCAAGTCTTGGCAAGAGCTCTTGGCGATCGTATTGAGTTTAGCTTCCACTCCTAGTCTCTTGGTATTCCACTCGGATCAAACTTGAGTTGATTATTTGATTGGTTGATCACTCTTGGCACGTATGGAAGGAACATGTGCAAACTTCTAAGCTAAATGCCTCGAGGCAGTAAGAAAATTGCCAATAAAGCTTTTCAAACCCTTTCATAACCAAGAGATTGCGCCCCGAGGCCAAGATCGGAGAAACTTGGCTATCTTGGCTCTGCGTATTCTCTTGGTATTTGGGCTGTGTTTTTCTTACATCTAACTTGACCTTGCTTATCATTTTCTTTCACCTTCTTCATTTATACGCATAAGAGTTTCATATTCACAAGATGGTTCAATCGGAAATGACAGTCACACCATATACACACGAGTGAATTTTGGGACCAAAAGTATAATCTATTAGGATGAGTACGGTGTAGGTATGATGGTATGATGGAGAAAAGGATCGTGAGTACTGATTAGTCCGGTAGTTGATTCTAGACAACCCAATGTGCAAGAAGGACTAGGTAAGTGTTCGGTTACATTTATTAATAAGCTTCACGATACAGTACCGGTGTCTTTATCTTTTACGTTAGATATGTTTAGATATCTCTACTATATAGAGTTTAACCTCGAGATTGAATTGCGCCTAGCTACGGTATAGAAGGTAGGTGATATTACTGTATTGGAGATTCAATTTGGATCATAATGCAGTTGGTTACACCGAGGTCTTGTAATTCGAGTACATCGTACCATACTTTCTCATCATTCATTACGTATAGTATAGTATGCAAAGAAGAGACAGCTGAGTGAATGAGATTGAATTTATATTATCCTCAAGTACCTACGTGCAGTGCAGTATGTAGGCGAGGAAGGTAAAAAAAGATAATTGACACGCAACGGCCAATCCCTTTCAAATTCATTCTCAGCCTGATTGTCTCGTAAAGAGGCATACATACCGAGAGTAGGTAGAGTTTAATAAATCGAATCATTCAAAGTTGGCTTTCCCATTATATCATACTCGAGTAGTACTTCCGTTAGACGACCAGCCATCAGCTACACATGTCAGCTTGTCTCGTATCTATACGAGCATGTCACCATCATACATCGTAGAAGACCCTATGGAAACTCCGTGTGTCTAAAATGACAAGATTCCGTGGAACAAAGTGCCACTTTATTTGATGAGGTGATAGTACGGAGTACAGAAACAGTAGGTAGGTATCGGCAAATAATCAACTCATCTCTCTCAAGCTTTCTTCCATTTATGCGGGGTGGGATGATCCACCCCTTTTGGCACTTTCAGCTGACTGACTGTACATCTGCAGTATTGGAATGGAATATGGGGATATCTAAATTAATGCGCTCAGTCTGACGAAGACGGAGTCTCCATACCAAGGGCATACACCTGGTCATTCATAATAAATATGCATACCTGAATGTTTTATGAAACACCTTCTTTTGGCTATACCGATGGATATAGTCTCTCAGACTCGGTATGCTCAGATGTTTTTCCTCATCACCAATCATTACTCCATAAAATCTTTACTACGCACTGCCCAGACCTTGGCCAACCACAATCTCTTGCTTCCTCCGCCCATTCACCAAGCTTTTCCACTCTAATGCCAATTTATTTCTCTTTGTTTTCATTTCACTTCCAGAGTTCTATGATTGTGTCATTGGCCAATCAAGTATATCTTTGCTCACCACATGTTTTATTATTATCCAAACAATTATCTGATCGCGTGCGGAGACGGAGGAGTAATGCAGAGGAAGATGTCGATGCCCTTCAATTTGTATTGCAAATTTGATTGTACCTACAAAGTTGTATGACTCACTGGCCGAGATAAAAGATGCACATCCTTCATTTTTAGAGAGGGACTGGCGACGATGACTCTTCTCGTATATTCAATGCTGCAAGATCCGTCAATTGAGGAGCCACCAAGGCAGATTTGAAGGTAGGTATTGATGTATGGGTAAGGTAGCAACGATACTTTAAAAATGTTAAAGGCAAAGCAAGCTCTCTGTCGAATCCCCAAATCAGAATAAGTTACAAAAAATTTCTTCTCTCTTTCTATTTCTGTATCATTCAAACAATAGTTATTGCACACAGATATCGTTTCCTTCCCCCTCAAACCAATTAATTTCTATTTCTGAACAATTTGAGCTATTTTTACCCTCCTCCACACTTTCCCCATGGCAGACGACACAAATAATGAGGAGTTGATACTCACGCAATACTTCCAAGACCAATTCCACGTCCCTACTCCAGGATGGTGGGAAGAAGCTAATCTAGCTTTCCAAACATTGCAGAAACTTCTGGATCCAGGCCTTGCGGGTCCAGAAGAGGACCTTGATAGCCAAGATCAAGGAGGTATTCCAAGCGCTCGTCGTGCTCGCATTGGCGCCCTTCCAAAGCTTGTCTGTTTTGCTACTGAAAGCCACGCCATACAGTGTACGACAAGAAACGAAACATTGAAATGCGTGGTTTTTGGAACCATTTCGGCAAGTTTGTTTATAGATGTCTTTTGGGAGGCAATCCAAAAGGCTCAAGTTGAGTATCCGGATGCGAATATTATTGTGTCATCGGTTCAGCCAGGCGCACATCCATTGTTTATTATACGAATCAATAGCTTCGCTTTTGAGGTTAAATATGGCTGTTGCGAGCCATTTGTGAGAAGAATGTATGTTGCCAAGTGCCTCCTGAGATACCTATCGAAAGAATCTTCATTCATGCAACGGCTGTTCAAACGTTTAGTGTTGCTCACATATCGAATAGCCATAAACAATTGCCTCAAAGTATTCCACTAGCGGCCCTCCAATACTGTGACGAGTGGTCGTCAAAACAAGCCATTAGAATTCTTTGGTTGACCGATTTCGCTCAAAAGTGTAAGCTCCTATCTGATTTTACCCCTCTCAGAACTTTATCTTCATTTCTTGGCCATTGGCCAAACTTTCCCAGGAATATGACTTAGAAATGCCAATCTGACATGATACAGTCAGAATAGACAACACTCTACACCATGTCTACCACTACATCAGAGCCTGGGCAACGGTTCAAGGACTTTATGGAAGCTCTAATATTGGCAGTCTTACCTCCATTTCCATCATCACCCTTTTACGGCATGCTTTATCTTCAAATTCCGAACCGCGTAATGTGAGACCCAATACTACAGAGACTTCAGATCAAAAATGGGAAAATTCGATAATCGCCTCCCTATCATCGGGCATTGGATCAAAATCATTTCAAGAGAACCTCGATTTCAAGACTACAATCCGTCGATTTTTGACCTACTATGGAAGAGTTCCAGAAATTGACCTAACGCCCTATTACATGGAATGTGGTACCGGTCTCTTCAACGATGACGAAGATGAACATCTAACCGAGTAAATTTCTCCTCCGTTTCCTATCACCATATAGACACTAACACCACACCAAAGAAACCAACTCACTCAATGGACCAACATCTATAATCTCTATCATCTTCAAAATGTAGATAGATCAACCCTCGAACTTCTCTACCTAAAATTCCAGCTCATGCATTCCATCATCGAAAGTAACCCCACAGAAAGTTATCCCCATTTTTCATATTGGAAAAATCTTCTCGCGAGTATTCAACAACAAGATGTGTCTGCTAAACTTGTGGGTGAAAATATCATTCAGATAGATTTCGTGTATTCAGGTACCTCCTCGCTGGAATGTGGAAGATGGTTGGATATGCTTGGTGATAGATTGGTGGAATTGAAGAGTTGTAAGCACATCCACTAACTGACCCATCCGCCCACCCATTCATCGTTCATTCATTTATTCCATAAACTGAAATTTGATATTAACAACCCCTCTGCAGCTCTAACAACCCTCACATCTTCATCTTCACCCTCAATACTCCATCTATGGCCCCAACCCCTAGTCGATCAAGAAGCAGATGATTCCTCTCCCTTCTACGAAGGATGTTTTCTCCTCGGTCTGACCAACATCGACTCTCCAGATCTCAACCCTACCCTCGAAAAATGGCTTTCCTCACTCCAGAAAGACAAATCCACACCCCCAAATCAAAAAGGTTATCTATTCTACACCATACATACCTCATCGTCAGAAAAATTCCATCTCCATCTCCGTCCCAGCACCCGTACATTCCATCCCCCCTCCATCACCCCACCCAACATCTCCCTTCCAACTTTCTCCCCCACCCCCTCTGCAACTCCAACCCCAACCCCAACACCCTTCCCCCTCCCCACACAAAAATCCCCTCCCCTCCGCACCGCAAAAGATATTCTCCACCGTCTCCTCCACGACCCCTCCTACTCCATCGAAAACCACCTGATCGGCTATCGTGATCGCCACGCCGGCGTCATGTTTAAAAATGCTTCTGACTGGAAACTCGATACCATGGACGAGGAATGGATTCCGGAACACAAGATTTTGGTATGTATGCATTCCTCTCTTATCAATCTTTCCCTTTCCTATGTATCCTCTCCTCTCCTCCCCTCTCCTTTCTGCCCGCTCCATCTCTTCACCCCCACCCCGCCTCAAGTTCTTCTCTTCTCTACACAACACCAAGTAAACCCCAAACATAGACCACCCACCCATCAATCCACAACCCCAAACTCTAACACCCCCACCCACCCCCAGTACTTCATCCAAACCCTGCCCGACAAGAACAAAAAAAGATTCATCTGGCACCGCGAACAAAAGCTCGATCTCCTCTTCGGAAGCGGCGGATCCCTTTCGCGCTGGGGAATCAACGGAGAGAAATTCAACATCGAGGTTCCTGGATGTGTCTGATGTAAAAGGGAAATAGCAAGATGGTGCTGCGGGCATTATATCAGAATACATGATACATAAACGAAATGCATAGAATATGAGCAAAGACGTCGTAGAATGATATCCACAAAATTTTAATACACTTCCATTATATTTCTCCATTTATTCACTTGTACATGTGATATTAATTGTTTATACACATCCACATGCACACAAACAGCCCACCAACCAACTCAGTAGCTAGCCAGCCAGCCATCAAATTGGACAGAGTTTCACAAAATTCCATCTCCCATCCATACAATATACATACATACATAATCATACACTCTCCGGACCAAAATTGTGAGGAAAACATCATGAATTCATGACCCATCGCCTCTGTTGCATGCAAGCAAGTATGCAATCATTCCGATTCCCAAAGTCATTATTATCAATCAAACCAGCCAGCCATATTGTAAACTCCATATTAGCTTATAGCTAATTAGCAAAGCTACCACCCATTATTATCCCAGCCCATCCATTACCGTTTCCTCCCTCTAGCGTTGACCTCCCCTTTCTCGCCAATCCCCAAAATAATCCTACAATCCGGACAATACCACTTAGTGGTTCTAGGAGGAACAGCCGTCATTTCCACACACTCCAGATGAAACCATTCTTTCTCGCACTATCAAGCAATCAATCATTAGTCTAGTCTCGTCCCGTCTCGTCCCGTCTCGTCTCGTCTCGTCTCTATTTATTCCTTTTCCTTCCTCTTTTCCGTATTCAATACAAACCAAAACACAGACCTCTTGTGGAAAGGAAGACTCACATTATCATTCTCACAAGCAATCATCGTGCCAAAGCTAACCCGATTACAAATGCAATATCTCTGTTCGTTTGGATCAATCAAATTTCCATCATCATCTACCTCATCCAAAACTTCTTGAACCGCACTGCCTTCTCTTCCATCTTTCTTTTCCTTTTTCTGTCCTGCCTTTTTGCGTGGAGCAGCACGTCTCTTGCCAACGCTTACGGCAGTAGATCCACCTTCTGTTGTAAGAGTTACAACACCTGGGGCGGGCCTTTTTGCTCTTTTGCTCGGTTGACGAGTTTCTGGTGCCGGCGTGTTACGAGCTGTGCTAGTGCGTCTGGGGCGATCTAATACTGCTGGCATAGGAGCTGCAGAAATGGGCTCTTCTGCTTTGATGGCGGCAGCAGTTACCGCTTCTTTTGCAGCGGCTGCTTTACCGCGAGAAGATGTTGGTCTTTTAGCTGGAAGGGGTTCTGATACTGGTGGTGTAGTGGGTTCAATTACTTGAGCAACCGGAGTTGCTTTGCGAGTGGCACGTGTGTTAGTTGTCTTCTCTAGCTTTTCCGATTTTTGATCTTCCTTCTTTTCTGCCAATTCCGATTCCACAACTGCTTTTGCGGCTTCTTTGGCCTCTTTTTTAGCAGCCGCCGCTGCTTTTCTCGCCTCTTTCTTGGCCTCCTTCTTTTCCACACCCGGAGGAAGAATTGGCGTTGAGGATTTTGGTGGTGATGTAGCCGTTACTGATGCAACCGGAGTAGAACTGATTGGTGTATCTGTAGTTGGTACTGATGGAGCAATGGAAGATGCCACGGATACGGCAGATTCCAAAGTTGGTACAGGAGTTGCGCGGGGAGTGGCATTTGTGATGATGGGATGAGGGGGTGGGACCGGGGTTTCAGTCTTCGTTCTCTTGAATTGAGGCTTACCTAATTTCGAAGAATCTACTTCATTCACTTTATCACCTTGAGCGTCATTCGTGTCAGTTATGCCATCTATACTCGGTGGGTTTGCCTCGCCATTCGTCTTTACGTCTTCGATTGTAGACTCGCGTTTTCGTTTTTTCGATGCTGGCTGCTTCTTAGGTGTTTTAGTAGGGGCTTTCTCTTTTTCTTTTTCTTTTTCTTTCTCTTTTTCTTTTTCTTTTTCTTTTTCTTTCTCCTTTTCTTTCTCTTTCTCTTTTTCTTTCTCTTTTTCTTTCTCTTTCTCTTCGGGATGATTCCCAAAAAGGCTCTTTACTGTACTAGCAGCTTCTGTCATCTTTCGTACAGATTCTTCAGCTTCTTCAGCCGCCAATTTGGCAAGCTCTTTTGCTGCTGCCTCTCTTTTTAATTTCTTGGCTTCGTTAAGCTTCATACCACGATTGCTAAGTTGTATCTCTTCTGTGCCTAAGGCTTCTGCACTTATAGCACCTTCCGCGATAACTGTCTTCCCGGTGAGTTGGGGTGGTACCGATTGTTCGAAAGGCTGTCCTGCAGCGTCAGCCTTACTCTTTGCAGTACGATACGCTTCAATTCCTCGTCCCAATTGTTTTAATTCACGTGCGATCATTGTATCGCTCGGGCTCCATACCGCATTCTTTTTCATTCTCTTTCTGAGCTTCGCAAGCTCCCATGCGGTCAACTGAAGCCAAGGCGCATCTTCGGTTCCCGCTTTCGCATCCGGTGGTGGAGGTTGGAGTTTCGCTAGTGCGTTACTTGTCGATATTCCGGCAACCGCGCTATGTACGTTCGTTCCCATAACTCCAGGTGGCCTTGGTGTCCGGGGGGCTTTTGCTACTTTCTCTTTCTTGGCTGGCTTGACCTTCAACTTGATCTTAGAATTGACCGATACGGATCTCGCAGGTGTCTCCCGACGTGGTGTGGGCGGGCCAGCGTCGGATTCCGAATCATCACTGTACGAATCATAAGAATCGTAGTCGAGCTCATATGGAGCCATGACCTCACCAGGAACAGTGATGATTGGCGCGCGTCGTTTGCGAACACGCATGCGACCATCAGGGTTTCCAGTTCGCAAAAGTAATTTTCCTGGCAATCGATTTGCGACAGGTGAATTTGGCTTCTGCGGGACAGGGCTTGTTTCTCGAGATTCGGGATAGTTTTCGGCCATGGTCTGAAGCTTCGCCAATATATTCTGGGCCCTTTTGTAATGTCTCTCCACGTTCTCAACCAGATGTGATGCTTCTGCGAAAGCCAATGTACGTGCCCCGAGGGCATCAGTCAAGCTGGTAGATATATCTTTTCGCAAAGAGACAGGGTCAGGTTTTGTATCGACGGGAAGATCGGGGAGGTGACCATAGGTTTTTGTCAAGTCATTCAAGCTCGATGAAGCATTGACATATTTCTCATCGAGGTCACTAATAAGTGCCAATGACCGCACCAAATCAGAAGGTAGGTATTCCGTAAAATCGAGAAAGTCTGTGATTGTTGCCTGTGCATCCGGATCCATAGGTGATTCCATGTTCTCAATGTTACTATTCAAGTTTGCCATAGATTGAATCGTTTCCGCGAGCTTGGCCTTACGGCCAGGACTTGTCATCTCCAAAGCGGTATCCATTGTATTATTTGCGGCCACGTTGATAGAGTATATGTTGGAATTGATATTATCGATTGCTCTTGAATTGTCGACATGCGATTGTGGTGGGACCTTGATTCGACAGCTCCAGATACCTGACTCATCCAGCCATCTAAAAGAGAGAAGAAAAAAACAAATTAGTAAAAAATTCCAGAGTCCAGTGTATGTCGTTAAAAAAAATTGTCGAAAGTCAATTGTTAAGGAAAGGTAAGAAAGAGATAATTGATGAAATATTGACCGAAATAGTACGGAGTAGGCAGGCAGGCATGTAGTGTAGTAATAATCTGTCGTGAAAGCAACTAAAAAACGCGAAAATCTATCGGCAAATTGTAAAGCGCGATACTGCCACCAATCCAAATCCTTACCTAGCGCCTACTTTGCGATCATTGGCAGGTATTATTTTGAAATTTTTTGGAGTGGGAAGGGGATCTTGGGTCCTTTTTTCCTTTTCTTTCCCGATGATTTGCCTTGAGCCTCTTATATCTTTTTTTTTTCTCGTTGCCCTTTTTCCCTTTACAATATTTGGGGTCTTGCTTGTACCTGGCTGGCTCTTATTCTGCCCCCCAATCGGTCCCCCAATCGGTCCCCATCTTTTCTTGCAAAGCGGCGGGAACAGGAAAGCAAAGCCAAAAGCCCAAAGCCCCAAGTCAAGTGAAAAAGCATGTAGCATAACATAAAATGCACGTGCTTTTTGTGGAGGGGAGGGGGAAGCTATGGAAACAGCTAATGTAGGTATCGACGTAGGTAGATCAAAATAGTATCAAGGTACCGGTAGTTATGGGGAAAAAGGGTAAAAATAAATACAATATAGGAAATAGGAAATAGACCAAAAAAGGGGGAAAGAAAGCTTCTATCAAAAAACATACCTTCTGGATGCATCTGATGCCATATTTGTTTGGGAGAGGTGGATGCTATTTTCTTCTCGATCTTGATCGGATCGAATGTTGTTTTAAGTTTGTAGCAGAGGAGACGCGATATCGATGAGGCTCTGGAAGGGAGTATGTGTGTGTGGATGGACGGATGGATGTGTGGTATGTGTGTGGTATGTGTGTGGTATGTACAGTGGTAATTGCAAATACCGTGATAAAATACTGAGAGTGATGGCAAATAATAGGCAGGTAAAGTTGACGACTAGAATAAAATAGATCTTTAATCGAATCAAAGACAATTTAAAAAAATCCTAGATTTGGGTTGGTGTGTTACGGAGCCTACATATTTCATTATAAAAATATGCCAAAAGGTGTCATGGGTTCCAAGGCTTTGTTTCGTGATATTTCAGATACTTCAGCAATAAGTACCGCCGTGAGTAACAAGTAGGTAGATATGCCAAAAAAAGATAAGAAGAAAGTAGCAGTAGTGGAAGCAGTGGCCGTGACCGTGGCAAAGTGGATGGGATCTGTACGGGATCTGGACAGTATCTAGATCATACAGAAAGGAGCCAAGTAGGTGTCGAAGGCTGAATATGATGGATGGAGCTGATCATGAATAAAACCAACTGGAAAAGGAAGGTTGAGCTGTATGGAGTGTGAAATTGATGGATGTATTTTGGTTGTTTTGGGAATCGATGTAGGTGATGAATATTTAATTAATGCTCCAATGCTAGTGATTATCAATATGTTTTATTATAATCTGATCCGTTTAAAATGATTGTTTGCACCTTCCCATTTACGATTTACCATTTCACCCTTTATTCACTTCAGCCCTTCCCCCCTCCCCCCTTCTTGTCTTGAAATTGCGGTTAAGCTATGGGTCACAAGATTACACAATATGATCTGAAAGGAATAAAATGCCTGCTTACTCTCGCATTTCAAATGTCAGCCTAGTCCTATAAGATAGGGACAGTTACAACATCATTTATCGAAGTATCTATAAGTACCTACCTAGGTACCGATCAATATAATAAGTTTCAATTCACATTCACTTCATTCTTGTATCATAGGTGTATAGACGTACCCCATACCCCTTTGTTGAAATCAATACATGCATCTATTTTTAGAAATAACCTTGATACCGGCATAGAATATCCATCAAAATCATCTGCACTCCTTTTCAAGAAATCGAAAGCATAAAGAATACAATACAACACGGTAAAACAAATCATCACTCCCGCCAGCTATTACTTGAAAGTGTTTATGATTATTTCCCCCCGGATGAGTAGATTGATCCCCTAACCCTTCTCGCCGTGTCGATAAGCAAACATGTGAGCATATTCCCCTGTATCTCAAGCCAGTGAACAAATCAAAAAAGTCTCGCTTCAACCAGTCAGCTATACTCCGCCAAATCAATAGATCCCAAAAAGAGGAAATAGCGAGATCCATATGCGTCTTCTTCCATGTACAGTAATTCTCTCCTTCATCTCCCCTAATGTACCTACCTCCGACTTCTCTCAACGTCAAGCCATCAAATCTGCACCACACTTTCCTCCCTAAACCGCACCCACAAACCCCAATACACCCCCACAAATTCCCGCAGCCACAACCCAGATACCCGAATACGCCACAGCACCGAGCGCCTCAACCCCTCAACCGTAACATACGTTTGCAAAAAAGTGTTAATACCTGTAATCATCATCAAAGTAGCTGTTCTCTTGATAATAATTCTGGTTTTGTTCGAAAATCCCCACAAGTTATAAAGAATAGTCTCTTCCAACGTAGCAGTTTCAGGGTTAAATGGCGGAGGTACCGAGTCTGAAGGCTTGGTAGCTGTAACTGGGGTGAAAATGAATGAACGTGTTGCGAGGCCTAAAAGTAACATAACGGGAAGGAGAGAAGTAGGTGTTGCGGAGTGAGCGGCGGCAATAGATGGGATACCTTCGAAATAGGTAGCAAGGTAAACTGGCATGTAGGACATGTATGCACCGTAGAGAGTGACGCTGTAGATAGATGCCGCTAGGAGTGTAGTGATGATCTGAACGGGAATATCTGAGGTAATATCTCGGTTTGGTACAGATGGAGCGTCTGCGTGAGCGGGAGAAAGAGGTCGAAGTAATCGGAATGGAATGTAGGTTGTGAGGGTATCGATCAGAAGAGATGACACAACAGTCTTCACGCTAACTTCATAGAATGCGTTTAGAAGATACAACTAAATCCCAAAAATCAGTACATACTCATCACAACTACGAGCGCAATTTGGTAGTGGGGTAGAAATTTGGGGGGGAAACTTACTGGAGGACCACGAGATAACAAAGTCATAGCCGCAAAATCATACCCATCATAATTACCAAACCAACCTAATGCCAATTCCGCAGTCCTCCACGCAACCAACCCCGCCGCCTCTTCCCATCCCTGATACCTCCTACTAACGCTTCCCAACTCCTCTGCCTCAACATAATTCGCACGCAAACTATAAGCCAACCCACTTCCCATCAAACTGAGAACTACTACCAAGGGAAACCTCAATAGATCTGGCACCTTTGATGGCTTCCGCTGTGAGAATCCAGAGTCGGCGAGCATTGACTTGACAAGCATGGAATTCTCATCATTCTCTCTCTCCGCTGCTTCCCTCTTCGAGTAATATTCATCCAAATCATCACCCCTTTGCAGATGGCTCAGATCCCCATTAACAAGTTGATCCGCTGCCGCCTCTGTACTGTCTGCCAAGCTCTCAACCTTATCTCTTCTTAGTGATCGTGTTGCTGGAGCCATTTTCTCCTCTTTTTCCTTTACTATTATTGTTTTCGTTCTGGTATGTCTCGTTCAGAATCGTATTATGCGTCAAAGTCCTGTGTACTTGTAAATAACTAAGTTTGATCGATTATATAGACAAATGAAAGTTCCATACCCGTCTGTCGTTTCCTAACAATTCAGTCCGGCAGCAAATAAACAAAACCAACGCGTCTCCTAGGGCCGGCGCGCTTATCCCACAAGTATAAAAGACTCCTTTCACTTTTCAATTTTTCTTTCAATGATCACAAATCAACAAAAGTTTTGAGTTTGATCGTTTGATTTTATATCGTTGAATTGATTCTTTTGATGTATAATTGTAGAAGTTATGTTCTGCCCATGCGAATTTTTTGCTTGCTTTGCATGATGCAGCTTGAGCTTGGACACCAAGACGTCACTACCGGTGAGCTATCATCAATCCAGTTCCTTGTATACAAGAGTCGTTCTGCCAACCACCATTTTTTCATTACAATTTTCTCTCTTTTTTCAATTGGTATCCACATCGAAAATTTTGATATTTCTAATTTAAATAAGTAAAGTCGTGTTGCTTCAGGTTGTTGAAAAATAAATTTCAATTGATATTTTGTTTTGCTTTGCTTTCTTCTTCAACATCTTGACACTTTCATCTGCTCATGCAATAGCTTCGTTTGCTTTTTCCTCTACATCCGCTGCGTTTATGACTACTGCACGCCTAATTGTTTGCCAACTTCTTTCTTCTACGTCAAGAAACTTTATCCCAGACCTAGATAACATGCTGCACCCTACCCAACCAATGTCCAGCAAGTGCTATCTAAAAGCCTCAAGCCCAGTGATGTTATCTGAAGGGGAAATGAAACCCTTTTGAAAAAGGACTTGCAAGTAGTTGCGTGCTTGACAATACAATATACCTCGATATGCCACTCTTAACTACATCGATATCGTCGCCACCATCAATATCATCATATTCACCATCAAAATTGGTATCAAATGGCATTGACACCAGGAACTTGCATGTCTGGCTGTTGAGTATCTTCTTTTCATTGATAACATTTGTTTTTATTGTTCTGGTAGATCAACCCGATTCTTAGTTTTAACCTCAGTGGATCAAACCCCCACACATTGGTGCTAAGAATCGACCGAATTTACTTATTACATTGCTACTACAGGAGAAGAAAAGGGAAATAATCACAATGGCCAATTGAAAGGTTGCTTCGATTGGCACATTTAGATTTGCCGGCAGTTATTCCTCCATATGTCCAAAAACACCATCATCGTCTTCATCAGAACGACCGCGGGATCGCAGATCATAATCTTCCTCATCTCCCATACTATCATCGCCATCGTCCATTTGCACATCTCCATCTCCATGGAGTTGATGACGGTCATAGCTTCCTCTGGCAAAACTTTCCCTCTGCCGCGGGCGAAGGCTAGGTGTGTAACTTGCTGAAATATCATTCAGATATTCAGCAGGGATTCCAGGTACGGGAGGAATATCATCTGGGAAGTCGCTTGAAAGACCGTGGTTCTCCATCGCTGTGGTTAATGTATCTTCCTCTTGGTTCTCATTCATTCCAGAAGAGGGCGGGCGACGCTCATAATTTTGTTGGTGGAAAAGACCGAAGCCGACTGGAACGCTAGCACCGTAACGTACCCTATCCGACATGGTATAAGAGTCACTATTTCCAGCATGTATCCTTGATCCGTTGAACGAACTGCCACCGTATGCGTGGCGTATATCTGCAGGTGGTGGTGTCATATCCGCGGAGCTGGCACGATCAATCTCATGATCACCCAGACTAGATGCAGAATCCTGGTCATCACTTTGAGGGTCCTTTGCAGAGTCCGGTGGAGTATTGACGGAATCTTGGTTCATTCCAAGAAGGACGGCAGCCGCTTCTAGCAACTGTACTTGTTGATGCTTTGAGATCAACAATTTCGAGGTGTAGGACCATTGTGGTGTATGTTCCCATCTGCAAACAAAAAGTTAATAACAATTCACAACACTATCACACAAAGCTTTCGCGCTGAAGCCTATGTGGAGGAAGATAGGAAAGGATGGTGGGCACGAACAAATGCTTAGACAAGCAACTGCTGTGCTTGTATCCTTTTCCACACTTGTCACACTTGAGATCATTGGCATTGGCCTTCTTGCCATCTTTCAAAAGTTGTGATCCTTCGCTCGCTCTTCTCATTCTGTTCTTTGTAAACTCGTCGTCTTCTTCGTCCTCCATTTCCTCGTCATTGTTATCATCGTCAATTGCACTCTCTCCACGCCCCGACTTCATGGTCAACCTTATTCTATGAGTTGGCAGGCTCGATGGTGGAGATGGTAAACTGCCCATAGGTCCGGATCTCATTGTTGCTCTTCGTGTAGAAATTGGCATTGCCAAAGGATTATCGCCAACCTCACTCGCTGTCGCTGCAGCTAGAAGTGCATTAACATTACTCGCAACGTTCGAAGATACACTTTTGCGTCGAGTCACCCTGCTGCTCGGTATAAGTGATCCTGCAGATACTGAATGAGAGTGATTTCTTGTATGAGACTGTCGTGGATAGGAACTCGAAGAATTTGTAGACAGTGATGGAAGTCGGCCTTGGCTAGGTCTCGAAGAATGCTGGATTTCCTGTGAGAGAGATGAGAATGATCAGCAGTGTTCCTATAAATAGATAACGCTGGTATGTAATGAGGGAAATAAGGTAATCACCTTAGAAGATGCCATCTTGACAATATTTATTTCCTTTGTTCCACTTTCGAATTCGCAGAGCCGACCTTCAAGCCTCGAGCTATGATAAGCAATAATATGAGAGCGAGACAAAATAATGGGATGGAATATTGGCGGTTGGTTTCGTAAATTGGTCGGGTTCGAGCTCCAGCTATAGACCGCGTGGTTCTTTGTAGGCGAGAGCAAATTGAGTGATTGGAGAAGCACAAAAAGAAGGAAGTATTGAGTGAATGCAATGAATTTCATAAAAAGAATTATTATTCAGAGAGAGCAACAAGGCAAGTGAATCTGCCACAGTAAAAAAGATGTTTGGAAATTTGTCGCAGTTGGAATGGAGAAATAAAAATGTTTAGAACCAGGATGAATCCAGGACTAAACGGAGGATCGAATGGCTGAGACGATGCAGGCCAGCGGGGTTTCGCAAGTTTCCGTTGTAGGCCACTGAGAGACTTGTTGTGCTAAATGTTTCGATGAAGATATGTTTATATGTAGAAGATAACAAGTGTAAATAGTCGAGTTCTCTTGCTTGTTATTGTTTCTTTTTCTCCCCCGAAGTAGAGTAAATGAATGACTGCTATAACTTCTGATATAGATTGAGAGATTGTGCAAATTGAATTCGTGCACAATTGTAGAAATATCCAGAAAGATTGGGAAGGGGGAAAAAAGTTGCGGTAACAGTAGATCTGGTACCAATTTTAGGTTGCTTGGTTGCTTGCTAGTCTTTACCTTTTCCTTCCTGGGGATTCCACTTTCCCTCTCTGTCGTATGTGTGTTCTCTTTGGGGGGTGAATCACTGGTTGAACCGGGGTCTGAATGGCAACTAACAAAATGGTAAATCGGAATTGGGTTTGATAGGATCACCAGATAGGGTTATTATTGAGTGTTGTAAATTGTTGATGTTGATATCTACGGCCGCCCTAGAAGGAAAGAAGGTAGATAGGTTGGTACTATCTGAGGTCTCTAGTATGTGTGTATTGCCTACTATACCTACTAGGTAGTATTGTCAGGATGTTATTCGATTTCGATTTCGATTTGATGGAGTCGTCCCACTATCCAGACCTTGGTTGGTCTTTTACTTCCGGGGGCCGGTTCGTAGTCGTCCAGCTACTACCCAGGTAGGTACAGAGAGTGTATTTCTAAATTCTGACCAAGCCGCAAGTCGGAGGCTTCTCCAATGGTGAATAAATGGGGGTCGATTGGTTTATTCCACGGATACCCCTACCCCCCTTAGTTGTGTACGAGAGTGAATACTAGGCAATGCTAAGGTTGAAAGTTGATTGATACACTGTACTAAGGCTTAGATCGTTGTGCGTGTGACAAGAATATGAAGTGCTAAACGCTGACTTTGAGTAATTAAAATGCAAATAAATGTGTTAAATTATCGGACAATCAAAAGGAAGCAAACTATTGTCATTGTAGACAGGAAGGTAATTGTAAATAGTAATTAGCTTTTATTTAAATCTTTTCAAGATATAATAGACGTCGCTTTCAGTCAATGGATAAGTAATGTGTAACGAGCAATGCAAGAAAGAACAAAGAAACGTACGGTGTGTGTGTTATGTCAGCTGTGAGAGAACATTCGGAAATCAAGCGTCTTTAGCAAAACCAATTATTTGAGATAAGAAAAAATCAAGGCAATAAATAAATACAATTTGTTCCCCAATTAAGAATGCAGCGAGAGGAGAATGCTTTTCGAGGTTTCTTTGTTTGTTTATTCAATTTAATTGGATTCGTTCATTGCATTGGAAACCTCCTCTCAGTTGACCTTAATTGATTGATCTACTCTCTGGATAAGAATCACCAGACACCCATACGCATACATTTATGGCATTTTAGTGTCACACATACACTTCTCTACGAAATGCATACAAGATTTGAGAACAAGGAATGGATGGATGGAGTGAATTAGGTAAAGGTAAGGGAGGCATATAGAGAAAAAGTTGAGGTAAAGCCCTCACTCACTCAATCTGTTCTTAGAAGTCAAGGGCTGTGTAATTTTGGGGATTTCAAATCATGGACCGGCCGGTACACTTAGAGTAGAATGAATATCTGATTCTCATTAATCCATAACCAAGATTTAGAAGGGATCCGTGACCTATCTACCTAGGTAACCAACATATAGGTAGCGAGGCAGTGTAAAGATTCATAGTGAGGTTTGATCATCTCACCTGGCTTGCGAATATTCGCCTCCTTTCCGTGCGAGAGGTGCTAGAGTAAAAATGTATCTAGACATTTTTGGAATAAGTATCCTAAGATTACTTCGTAGAGAAAAGCCTCCCC